CTCTCTTCTCTCTCTCTCTCTCTTTCTCTCTTTCCATTGTGCCAAGTGTACTATGAGAAAGTATATAGTAATCGATCTACGATTTCTTCCAATTATCTCGCGCGATCGAATAATAATCAGATAAATACACACGTCGTTATTACTTTTGAAATATCGACGAACATGCATACATCAAAGAAATATATAGAGAACGTATCCGGTTGCTGTCGCTTTTTAATGCCGTTCTCTTCTAAGCGGCAAATTTCATTTGAATTGTTTGAATTAAACGACGGAAAGATAATTGCCCGCGCGCGTGCAATCGATTTAACAGCTCAGCCACAGGCGTCACGATAATTTTCCGTTCTATTTTACATCGTTGATATATCTAGCATCTCAAAGTTCATTGAATATGCGCGCGCGTGCATAGGGACAAGCGCGCGAAACTTCGTGCGATAGCCTTCTCGCGAAAAAAAAAGTGTGTGCTTATAAATAATTTATCGCTTTCCGGCATCTCCTCTTCGGCCTTTCGGAATTTTACGCACGGGTCTCGACTAAGACGGGCCCCGGCCGTACAGGCTCCTCTCTCGCGCCTTCCGCGTATATCCTTCGGACTCCCCATATCCTCAAAGCTCGGCCCGTGCATTCAGAGCCCGGTAAATTGAATAGCTTGCAGTCTCACTGCCGTAAACGGTCCTCCTTACTTCTCCGGAGTAGCAAACAAACGCGGAGCCCAGGAGGCCTGTAAAGCATGACAGGATCTTGTCAACCGCCGTACATGATTACGGCGAGCGAGCATGAATAATGGAATGCATAATTTATAGGTTTTGCAGCGAAGGATCGGCGGTGCCGCGGTGCGAGCGAGGGTGGCTGCCGGGGGACGGGGAGGGGCAGTAAAGCTAGGGGCTAGGGGAAGACGGAGTTGTGCGCCACGATTACGCCCGATCACGTGTGCATTACGGATCCTTTTAATAAGCCACCGCTTCCGACGCTCAGATAAATCAAACGATCTCGATAAGGATGATCGTTGTCTACGATACGTGCATGTGCACGGAGAGAATTTTTTTTTTAATTTATCCTGCAAATCATGTTAATTGTGGGACAATATAGTATTTAGGCAAATTTTACTGTGCACTACAATAAGATTTTACAGTAAAATTTATTGTAGTGCATAATAAAATTTGCCTAAATACTATATTGTCCCACAAATAACATGATTTGCAGGGTAAATAAATTTGACAGTAGTAAAATACAGTAAAAATTATTGTAGTGCACAGTAAAATTTGCTTAAATACTATATTGTCTCATAATTAACATGATTTAGAGGGTAAATTTAAAGAAAAAATTCTCTCCGTGTAGCATTCACTAGGGACTAATTACTCGAATCTAGACATTAAGGGCCATGGCACACAGAAAAACGTAAACATTGGGACTTATTAAACAGTAAGCGAATCGGCCAATCAGAGCCGAGAATTAAACAAAATTATAGCCTTATGTTTTTTCAACAAATCTCCCGATAATGATTGACCGATTCATTTACTGCTTAAGTCTTATTGCTTATTGTTTTTCTGTGTGCTACATGAATACGTCTTAACGCAGTAACCAGGACGAGTCGAGAATCGGGAGGGACTGATAGATGGATCGCATTACGCTCGTTACAGTTACGCACGTATTTTTTCTTTTTCTCCCGCTTTCGTCGAGAGTAACAGCATAAGCGAGGATACGAGCGCCGCGTGCCCCGGGCACGTTTCGGCGCACGCACCGATACGCAATACGATGGTAAATGAAACACGAGAACGCCGCGAAGTTCAAGTACGCAATATTGGATGAAAAGTGGCCTGTAATGTAACAGTTTAAACGGAATTCGGGGCAGGAATTTCGGTGTGCCCCGTAGAGATAAATCTTCTCCGTTCTCGTCACGTCGGACAGTCAATGAAGTGAACTCCCCGAACGCCTCCGGGCTCCGTACACACGGGATCGTGAATGTCTTAAACCGTGAATTCGTACGCGCGTATTGGAGGATATTCGGAGCGCGTGCTCCTTGCCTAATTATTCGCTCGTCTTGACCGTTGGTTATTCGAGAATGGTGCCCCGAAGCAACTGACATTTTATAGCCTGACGAATAACGATATAACAATGCAACAATATAACAATATAATAATTAATAATATATAGAAATGTACTAATAATGCTTATAATGTAGCACAATGGCACTAAATAATTAAGAACCTTGTAACCATAATGTTAAAACCAATGCTGTAACTAATCGATAAATCATATTAATTTTTTAATCATACATTAGAGAATGTCAAATTGAATCTGATATTAAATCATGTATAGAAAGGAATGGTTATGAGCACAATGACACTAAATAATTAAAAACCTTGTAACCATAATGCTAGGAAATCGGTCCGAACTCTGGAACGGAGAGATAATTGACCAATCGCATTGATCAGCATTGATTAATGGCCGAATTGTTCAAATGCAGCGATTAGTCAATTCTCTCTCCGTCAAAGACTGATCTGGGACTGATTTCTAGCATTGTAGACCCAAAGCTTAAAAGAACTCCCATACACAAAATTCCGTATAAAGCAGCAAGTCAACATTTTTGCTATTGCTTACATTATTGCATTACGTTCTTCACTGCGATTGGTCGATTCGCTCTTACGTGCTTATATGTTTCTCTGTGTGCCATGGCCCTAACAGTCCTAATGTACATACGAATATCATTTGAAAGGGGAAGCACGCGCCTCAAATGTGTACTTCCATGTACGTGCAACTCCATGCGTTAAAGCACTTATGGCCTCGTGTATACATATTCGTCACACTTTAGACATGTTCACGTTCGGCAAACTGCACGCTCGTGTATATATAGGTCACGCCACAACGAACAAGGAAAAAGCGAAAGAATGCAATTTGCAGTACGTAACATATATATATGTATTACATATGTGTTGGTAGATGATGCAGAATATCGAGCAGTTGACTGCTCGTATTTCGTTGGCCAATCGCAACGTGTCGCAATATCGTCTTCATAACGATTAAAAAATGCGACGTCCTACTCTTTCGTTCTTACGTCTCGCTCCATCGCCTCGAGTCTTCCTTCCATCTTATACATCCGGAAAGATTCCGAGAGACGATGACGACGACGACAACGACGACGACGACGGCGACGCAGGTGATTCATCGCACGGAGTGTCTATCGTCCCGCGTTCATGTAAGTTTTCTAGAATCTACGTCTGACACACACACACACACACGGCAAAATTTGCTCGATGCAAGGAGAACAAAAATACACAACTCGACTGTGTACAAATATTCTGCGTTTTTCTGTTTTAAGATTATCTATAGCCTAAGTATAATCGGCGTCAAGAGCGCCCTAAATGGACAGCTTATTCCAAGAAAGAAAAAAAATATTGTCATCATTTATTTTTTTATCTATTAATCTTAAAATTAATAAATAGAAATATATTCTTAAAGAGTCGCATGAAAATTTGAAAGATTACTGAATTTGCAGGCCGTTAAAAGCGTCAGCGCGCAGGTAGAAAATGCAAAACAGGCTTAAATAAATGTTTGATTCCTTTTCTTCAACGCGGTTTTATTATTCTCTGGTTCTCTCAATATAGTATTAACACTGTGTAATAAATGACTTTGAAATTTAGGATTAAAAATGATTAATATGGAAATTTATTTGGAGTATTAACAATGGATTTGAATCCTGAAAATTATGAAACTAATTAGCAACATAATTGGGCTAAAGCTTTTTTTTTAATAAATCAAAAAGACTATTAAATAAGTCAGAAATGTCAAGAGAAAGAGAATGATATTCGACATAAAAGACGCGGCCCGGAAAACGAAATAATCGACTTGAAAGGAATATTTTGAAATTAGAAGGATCATTTTTTGTGGTCCTGATACAATAGACTAGCCACTAGCCGCAAATAATTGTTAAAAAAAATATTGAACTGATAACTTTCAATGTGTTTCCCATGAGAAAGGATGTTGCCCATCCAACTGAAGACATAACTGATCGTTAAAGCAATCTTTCTCAAGTTTTGCGAATCTATAGAAAAAAATTCTCCTTGGTATAAATTAAGATTAGGAGGACACTCGTTCTTTTTTTCTTGTTCGTGTTGAATGAACACTCCTGTTCATTCAACACTGCTCCAACGGTGATGACAGAAACGAAAAAAATATGTAATAAAAGTTCTTGCAAAATGTATTAAAATGGAAATGCATTTTAATAAAACAACACTTACAATCGACTTGTAAAATATACTCTCCTTTCGTTTCATTAATTAATAAATGATTACCTGAAAATTAATTATGCACGGAAAACAAAATAAAAAATATTACTATTTGAATATATTTCGCAAGAATTTTTATTGTATATTTTCTCGCTTTTGACAATCTAAGATAGTGGTGAGTGGCAAAGAGTCGATCCGCACTCATATCTCACTGTTATCAATAAATGCGTTCATTTATTTCTGAGATTGTATAATATATGTAACGTAAACTATATGCGCATTCAAAGACGCATTTATTGATAAAACTGAGGTATGAATACGGACCTTCATGATTAAAAATTCGATTTTTTTTTGCTACCTTCTTATCGACATGATTTCACGGATATCCGAGCCCATTAGCGCTGACTGTTAACATTGGCGCGCCGCGAGATAATTAACTTCGACCCGGCGTTTAACTGTGTTTAGTACACGTGCGGGAAGGAAACTATTTCGAGCTCGCGGCGTGTCGACAAGGAAGTAATATTTCTAATGACGTTACTGGGGCGTGCTAAGTTTCGTTACAAGATACCACCGTCAGTATATTAAATGTAGACATTAGTCAGTTAATGTTTATCGGCGAAAGGGAGAGAGAGGGAGGGAGGGAGAGAGACGGTGGATGTCGGACGTGGAGACTTAATTGGACCATAACTCATCTCGCGCCGGCGTCTTCCACGGCAGGTAAACGCCGTTTCCTTTCCGCGCGCCTGTATTTCTTGGGTCTTTCTTTCTTTCTTACGTATGCGCATGCTGATAATGCCTGATCATCCGTGGCCTGCCGATGATCTTGCGATACGCGGAACTCTCGGCGTGACGCAGTTCGAGCAGGGATGGCCTTACGAAACGTAAGGATAATAAATGGGGATAAGGCCAAAAGAAACTTGTCCTAAACCATATATGAGTTTCATCGGCATGCGTAATTTTGCTGAGAATAGATGCACGACCAAACGATTATGTATATTTCGTTTCAAGTAAAAATATCGATACAAAGATAGAATTCGATAAATCGACTCGACTCGACGGCTCTGGCGGCGGATTTCGACCGCAATCTATGAATGTTGCGGCTTTCTCAGAAAATTCTCTTATAGAGGAACCCGAATATCCTCGCGATGAAATCATCATAATTCCATCGGGAACGTCGACGAGGATATCCGATGCGGATCGATAAACGTTTCTCCGTTGCATCCGGAACACTCCTCGGAATTCCATATCCTGGGGAGCGAGGATCCACGGGGGATGACAAGGCAGCGATGACGACGCCACGGTCGATTCCGGGCCCCGAACTCATGAGGAGAGCCGTGACGGGCGCGAACGTGGCTGGAATCGTGTTCGCGGACATTTCCTGCCGGCTCTTCCGGCGCGCGCTTTAACGGCCGCACAAAAAGCACGCGCGCGTCTGCTTTGTCCCGTTCCCCTCATCCCGGCCCCGTCCAACCGTCCGTACGTTTTCGTGACCAGGCGCCGATCGTCGAGGTTGCAGCTTCCGTCGTCGGTGTCTCGGGTGGGGGGAGGGGAGAGGTCGGGAGGGAGAAATTCCCGGTAACTTTCCCTCCTACGCGCGAACGGCCGCGGTAGGAGAGAGACGGGGCGGGATGGGTCGCACTAGCGATGGGATTAATCCTGATTTTTCATTAGCTACGAGCTAATAATCGCCGACAACGCAACGCGACGGTTGCGCAGTATCTCAAGCTATGACTGATCGCACGAGAAAATACGTCGTCCGCTCTTTCGACTGTGACAAATAGCACGCTCGAGGCCGCATACTTTCCGCGAAATTTACAATTATAGAGATACCGCGCGTATAATACGCGCGAGACGCGTTGCGACAGATTTACACAAGATTACAGTTACAATCTTTCGCTCGAGACTTCCAGCGAAGTCTCGATACGCAAAAGTTGAAAGAGATTTGACGCGAAAAATCATTTAAATACATGTCTCTCTCTCTCTCTCTCTCTCTCTCTCTCTCTCTCTCTCTCTCTCTCCTCTGGATTTAATAAACGGGACAAACGTATTCGCAATCTTAAATAGGTGTTGATTTTATTTATGTTCTTTTCGATACCTATAACTTACTGACGATCCTCGGAAGGCAAACACGGCCACGAGTAATATTCATTTCAAATATCCCTCTTCATCCGCAATGTCGTTCTATCTGAAATGAGGTCGTAAATCAAACAATCCTGCCATGACCCTAATCGCGGTTCCTGATGATGTTCGCATTTCAAGATGCTAACAACCGCATAAATTCTTCATGTCGAGTCCCGCCGCCCACAAAAATCGAAAATTTTATTACGCGTTCTCCTCCGCCCTTATAAAGCCCATCGATTGCTCGATAGCGCGTAGACGAGAATCGGATCGGTCCCATCACTGCGGGGTCCAGCTCGCGAGCCTTTCTAATCCGTTGGTTTGAACGAGTTGATGTTTTCGCGCCCGCTAGTAGATGCGGTAACAGACGTGCTGCCTAGCAGAAGGGGCAAGGACGGCCGAGGCCGACCGAGACTGGCTTGCCTGTACGGGAGGAAGTCGGAGCACGAAGAAAAAGAGAGAAAGAGTGGAAGAGAGAGAGAGAGAGAGAGAGAGAGAGGGAGAAAGAAAGACGAAGAGACCACTGGATCAGGGTGGACTAAACAGCAACGACCGCGCGCGCCCACGTGCGTGTGAGTCGCCGCGCGTGGTACGAAGGCTGGCGCGAAGGCCTGTGTGCGTGCGCGTGGTTGCACGATGCCACCGACACCGGATCCCAAGGAGTCGTGCGAGTTAGGAGCAACGTGGGATTTTACGAAGCGTTGCATCGCGATGGAATTCCGTTCCCCCGACACGAGAGGACGATCTTTCCTGCCCTGGTCCTTCCTCTCCGATGACCGCGTCGCGTGCCACGATCCGTCTTGAAAACAATTAAACAAATTCGTAACTCCTTGTACCTTTCTCCTTTGAACGTAAACAACGCATGCGATTAATCCCTTTAAATTGTTCACGTAGAGAGGGGCTGGTTAAGTACTCGATTCCATTGGAGCGGAGATATGAGACGAAGAAGCTCTCGGAAGGCCTTCGAGTCTTCGGTGGATTTGAAATGGAATTTAAATGGCTCGGTATGATAAAACTTGCATTTACGCGCGCCTTTTTACGTCAGCAAGTCCGAGTTAGCGAGTAATAAACGGCAGCCGCCGTGTTTATCGCACGGAATGCGTGCGTACGCAGGTGCATCGTCGTCAATGCGCGCAAACACGTTTCAGGAATGCATAATTTATCCAATTTAAATTGTACCGCGGTATTCTCTCGTAATCGTTTTCATTTCGGAACATCAACAAAATTCATTTGCGTTGGATCACTCGACTATATATACATACATATACATATAACATAAAACATTGCAAGAAAATTACAATTACATATATATTTATATGTTTAATTATACAGCCAACTCATTTATATATACGTGTATAGATATTTTATTCTATAATAAAATTGCTTATATTACAATTTAAAATAGACAAAAGGAGCTTAATAATTTTTTCAACGTTCTATGACATGTTCGAGCTAAAATTTACATTGATGGTTTTGGCTTGAATTATTTTAACTTTAATTATTATGATGCTCAGACAAAATGAAAGTTTTGCTGTTAAGCATTCGAATATATGAAGGACAATCTGCTGGATTACGGAAACTTTTAAAACTAAAATACATAATTTTTCCCGAAAAAGATTTCGTTTTAATATAAGTTCCGAACGTTTTACTAATGTACAAAATAAATGTATAAAGAAAAGAAGATAACAGTTGTCCGCTTTCGATAACAAAGAATAATGAAAAGCCACTTGCTAATTACATATGTGTAGCCTCTTAATCGAGTCCTCGCGTGTTAATAAATTGAGAACTAAATAATTACATATTATATAGAGTGAACATGAATGCAATAATTAACTAAACATTTAAACTAAATATAACATGTATTAATGTAAGTATTTTTACTGAAAACGATTTTAAGAGTTATTCCCTCAAATGTCGACAAAATTTAACAAATTATTATAGTAATTATAACCGCAGTAGTTATAATAAAAATTAAGATAATATCTGAAAAATAGAATTTTCGAAGTTATATAAAGTTATTTGTCATACAATAACAGAGATGACATTAAAACTACGAGTATCTCGACGTGTCTCATTTACTCCCTTCTTTTCTTGTGTTCTCCGTGACTTATCCGATTTCGTATTTCGCGTTTTATAGTTTGTAGAATTAGAGATCTCTGGGGAAATGAATTTAATCACAATCGGCTTCGACGACGCACACGAAAACGCTGTTCCGCACGAAACCTATCTGGCAGATGCAGCCTGGAACGCACATCTCGCAGGGCGGCGGCAAGGAATCTCTATTCCTGCATGTTCTCTGACAGACTGGGTCCGCGAAACAATAGTCGAACTCCTCATTATTCCCATAACATTCCTGCTTTTGATATTGTTGAGACCAAAGCCAACGACCTTCACGATCTGCAAAGCGGAATAGAAAAATTATAAATTACGCATAAAATTTCTCTCTTGAATTTGCAACGTAACAATTGCATACAGCCATAACGTCAGATAGAATAATTTTGATCTTTTCGACACATTTATTTTGACCGCACATACATATCAAACAATGACATAAAGTACGCATATGTATATACATGTCACACATGACGCACGTGAGAATCAACTATAATTCGAATATAATAGAATGTCAATATTCTTTCCGTTTTATTAGGCAGTTATTTCAAATATATAATGTGCTTTTGAAGAAAATATTACGACATGAAAAAAACGGTTCCAGAATAGCACTGGTAATGACTCAAGCAGAACAATAGATCATGACAAAAAACAAAATCGACAACGTCAAAATGATATTAAAATAAATCGTGTTTAATAGAAAAGTGATATTTAATAATCATTTTGGCATCATTTTGACGTCATTTTTATGTCATGATAATTTTCTGTTTCGCTTGAGAAGAAACCTATCAGCCTATTAAAGGAGCAAGAGAAATCGACGAGTATACAGACACTGATGAGTACACACGTGCAATTAAGCGATTAAAGGGGAATGTCATAACTACGCGAATTATTTTTATTCAATTAATTACTCAAATCAATAAAGAACATGGATCAAAGTATGGTACATCAAAACTTACCGTTTTCATCCTCCATAGTCACGCTGTCCAATTTGTCGAAACAATGAACGCCGATGAGAACAGCGAAAATGAAAAATACCAAGAATTTCATCGTGTATTCACAGCAGTTTAAAACGTGTACAGAAACAACGACGCACGATGTTGACAACTTTAATTCTATTGCTACAATAGCTATCCAACGCTGGACGCACGCTATATATTTGTAAAAGTAACTACAGTCACTCGCCATGTGGCGCTCGCTGTAATTAGGAGACCCTCTAATAAGAGTACGGATAAAAAAATTTTGCCGAAATTAAAGAGACAGATAGGGGTTTTATTTACTGTCTCCCTCTATATGTACTATCTTATTTTAATACTTATGCTGATTCACATTATAATCTTAATATATTAGATAAATTCAAGCGTAGCACTTTTGTAAAGATAAAAATAGCATTACTTAAAATTGGTTGACATTAGGAACAAAAATATTTTAATAAATTTATTTATAGCAAAACATTTATCATGCATTTATTTCTTCCAACATCAGTGATAAAATTATCGAAATCTAAATTGGAGCGAGAGTTGACAAAAACAACGAACCAATTAAAAGTGGGCATTTTATATGGCCAGACTCTTATTACAAAGCCTCTAACAAAAAGAAGCTGCAGTCACGTTAAAATTCAAGTGTGAGAACACTTTAAATATTCGACTATGCCTTTTATAATGTTGATATGTCATACATATGTTAGATTTTTGAAAAAAAAATATATATATATATATTTATTATATATTACAAACTTCATTATTAAACAAGTTAAAATATTTAAAAACTATACATATTTCATACTGATATATATCATAATATCATTTTATATCATATTAATATATGTATATACTTTTATACATTTATATTTTGTTTAAATTATTTTATTGTTTGTTAACTTTTTATACTATATATATATGTATGTGTGTATGTTCAATTATACAATCAACTCATTTATATACAAAATGTACAAGTACTTTATTCTGTAAAAAATTGCTTCTCTTATAATTCAAAATATATAATCAAAAAAAGGAACTTAATAATTCAGTTTCGTCAACGTTCAATTGATCTAAAAGAGCTTACATTGTTTTTAGTTATTACAAGGATTATTTTAATTATTATAATGATCAGGCATGATGAAAGTTTTGCTATTAGACATTCTAATAAGCGATAATATGGTAGAACTTACGGAGAATTTTTAAAACAGAAATACATGATCTTTCCTCGAACAATTTTGTTTTGCTTCAAGTTCCTAACGTTTTCCTAATATAGAAAATAAATGTATAAAGGAAAAAATGTAAACAGTTATCCGTTTCTGACAACAAATGATAATAAAATGCCACTTGCAAATTACATTATATATGTGTAACCTTTCACTCGAGTACTTTGAGTGTTAATAAAGTGAGAAATATATATTATTCCATATTATTATAAAGTGGATATAAAGGAAATAATGAATTGTACAGTTAAACTAAATATAACACATATTAATATAAGTTTATTTTATTCGAAACGATTTAAGAAATTATTTCTTCAAGTGTCAAAAAAAATTTAACAAATTATTATAACAGTCATAATTGTACGTAGTTTGATTAATAACTATGTAGTTAATAAATTAGTACAATTCGTTTAAATTAGACTTATTTTAAATCATTAGAAATTTAGATAATATTTAAAAAATATAATTTTTAACCGTTAAAAAATTGTCATACGACAAAAAAAGATCAACACTAAAACTATGAGTCTTAATCAATTCTTATATCAGTCGATCGACTACAGGCGATAGAAAACAAGCGACTATATCACAGAAAAGCAGCGACGATGGCAATAATTAAATCTTAGATGTGACGGCTTTTTGCATAATAAATCATTCTTCCTTTATTTTAGGTGTTCAATAAAATACTTCTTGACTTCCAAGTGCAAGTGCATCATCGTCAATGCGCGCAAACATGTTTGAAGAATGCATAATTTATCCATTTTAAATTATATCGCGGTATTCTCTCGTAATCGCGCGCGCGTTTTTATTTTAGAAAATTGACAAGATTTATTTGCATTGAATCATTCAATTCTATATATATGTACATATGATGTATAACCACATTCAAGTGTAATTACACGATACATAAGCAAGTGACTTTTGAAGAAGTTCCTAATAAAAAGATCAAAGAACATAAATCGCTACGGCGCGGCAGACGTCTTTATTTGCTCTTTTCCTTGTGTTCTTCGTGACTTATTCGATCTTGTATTTTGCGTTTTATAGTTTGTAGTGTTAGATCTCTGGAGAAATGAATTTAATCACAATCGGCTTCGGTGACGCACACGAAAACGCTGTTCCGCACGTAACCTCGCTGACAGATGCAGCCCGGAACGCACTTCTTGCAGGGCGGTGGCAATAAGGAGTCTCTCCAGCCGTCATTCCTGCATGTCTTTTGACAGGCTTGTTCCGCGAGACAATAGTTGAACTCCTCATAATTTCCGTAACATTCCTGCTTTTGATATTGCTGATGCCAACGACCTTCACGATCTGATAAAAGATTTGAAAAGCGGAATAGAAAAGTTATAAATTACGCATAAAATTTTTACCTTGAATTTGCAAGGTAGTGATTACAGCCCTAACGCTCACGTCAGACAGAACTATTTCGACCTTTTCGACACATTTATTTTGATCGCAAATCATCAAAACAATGACATAAAGTACGCACACATATGTATATACATGTCACACATAACGCACGTCAGGATAGCTATTTCAAATATAATATTATAGAATGTCATTATTCTTTCCGTTTTATTAGGCAGTTATTTCAAACATGTAATGTGCTTTTGGAGAAAATACTATGATATGAAAAAAACGGTCTGGAATAGCACTGATAATGCAGCTCAAGCAGAACAATAGGTCATGACAAAGAAATAAAATCGACAACGTCAAAATGATATTAAAATAAATCGTGTTTAATAGAAAAGTGATATTTAATAATCATTTTGGCATCATTTTGACGTCATTTTTATGTCATGACAATTTTCTGTTTCGCTTGAGAAGAAACTACCTATCCAAGGGAGCACGAAATCGACGAGTATACAGACACTGACGGTTACACACGTGCAATTAAGCAATTAAAGCAGATTTTCATAACTACGCGAATCATTTTTATTCAATTGATCACTCAAATTGATAAAGAACATGGATCGAAATATGGTACATCAAAACTTACCGTCTTTATCCTCCATAGTCGCGCTGTCCAAATTGTCGAAACAATGAACGCCGATGAGAACGGCGAAAATGAAAAATACCAAGAATTTCATCGTGTATTCACAGCAGTTTAAAACGTGTACGAGAAACGACGCACGATGTTGACAACTTTAATTCTATCGCTACAATAGCTATCCAACGCTGGGCGCACGCTATATATTTGTAAAAGTAACTACAGTCACTCACCATGTGGCGCTCGCTGTAATTAGGATAAAAGACCCTCGAATAAGAGTATGGACAAAGTAACTTTGTCAAAACTAAAGAAACAGACGGGAGATTTATCTACTATCTCCCTCTATATGTACTATCTCATCTTAATACTTATGCACGGAGAGAATTTTCTTTTAAAATTTACTCTGAAAATCATGTTAATTGTGAGACAATATATGTATTTAGGTAAATTTTACTGTGCACTACAATAAATTTTACTGCGAAATCTTATTGTAGTGCACAGTAAAATTTACCTAAAAATTCTCTCCGTGTGCTGTTTCACGTCATAATCTTAATATATTCAATTCTTTCAAGTGTAGAACTTTACAAAGATAGAAATAGCATTGCTTAAAATTTGCTGATATTAAGAACAAAAATATTCTAATAAATTTATTTATAGCAAAACGTTTATCATGCATTTATTTCTTTCAACATGAGTTTAATAAATAATTATCGAAATTTAAATTGAAGCGGAAGTTAACAAGAACAACGAACCAATTAAAAGTGATTGTTCCATCTGCTCGAGCTCTTATTAGAAAGTCTCTAACTAAGAATGATTTATACATTTTCCCGTCAAAATTTTTCTCGTAAATATTCGGTTACATGTCTTTCATAATGTTGTTTATGCGTATACCCTGTTTTGAAATTATTCATATACTATAAATTTTATTATTAAACAATTTAAAATATTTAACAGCTATATATTTCATATTTCTAATATTTCATATATTATACTTCGATATCGTATTTTATATACATACGTTGATATATATCGTATATTAATAAAAAATTTTATTTCAATCCATTATTTTTAAAACATTTTATATTTGCCAACTCTTTTACGACGAATGACTACACACTATAGCGGCCGCTTGAAACTGTCCCATGTGCTATAGAACGCGAATTCGTTCTATTTCGTGCGAGAATAACATACCCGCGGCGAGCACTCTCGTAACGAAATGGCCAATGTCGCGAAAGGTTTAAGTACTCGAGGAATCATATCAATAAAGCCCCGATATCAAATGTCGCAATCAGTTTTCCCTTTTAGATTTTCAATATCGATTATTTATGCGCCAATGAAATTTATGTGCCATAAATGGTGATTGAAAATCATTAAATATATTCAGACAGGAAGAAGATATACATATTTATTTCCAAAGACGAGAAATAAAGGAGTTTTGCAGTTTTTTAGTAATGTTATATATACATTCAACTGTATATTCAACTCATTTACATACAATATGAATAAGTATTTTATTCTATAATAAAATTGCTCGTATTGCAGCTCAAAATAGAAAATCGTAATACGAAATCATTAGGAGCAGAATAATCTGTTCTGTTTTTTGTAACTTTCTATCGCCATGTTCAAGTTAAGAAAGTTTACTCGTTTAGTTGGCTGGTTTTGTCTTTAATTACTACAAGAGTTACTTTAACTATTATGATAATCCGAGATAATAAAAATTTTGCTGTTATAAGCAATCAAATATATGAGCAACAATCTGCTAGATCTTACATAGAATTTTTTAAACGAAAATACATATTTTGTTTTAATTTAAGTCCCTAATGTTTTCCTAACATACAAAGTAAGTGTATAAAGAAAAAAACTTAAATAATTGTCCGCTTTCTACAACAAATTCTAAAAAGCTATTTCCAATTTATAAAACACAAATTGTTACTAAAAAGTGACTTGCAAATTTATATATGCAGTCTTTTAATCGAATACTTTGCGTGTCAATAAATTGAGAACTATATAATTCCATACTAGGTATATATCTAGATCGAATATGAATATAATACTTGAATGAACATTTAAACTAAATATTTATAACATATATTAGTATAAGTTTTATTTTACTCAAAACGATCTTAGAAATTATTTCTTCAGGTATCGACAAAATTTAACAAATTATTATAATAGTCATAATTGTATGTATAGTTTGATTAATAACTATGTTTTTATTATACATTAACACGATTCATGTTAAAATCAAACTTATTTCAAATTATTTAAAACAAAAATAAGATATATATAATATCTGACAAATAGAATTTCCGACTGTAATATAAAATTATTTATCATACATCAAAATAGATCAACACTGAAACTGTGAGTGTTTCGACGTTTCTCATATCAGTCGGTCGACTACCCAAAGTACGGGCTATGGAGATAAAGTGACTACATATACATATATATCACAGAGAAACAGCGACGATATATAACAGTCAGTATAATTAATCTTGGTTGCAACGGACCTTTGCATTAAAACGTTCTTGTTTCAAGTGTTCAATAAAGTGTTCAATACTACTTGCCTTCCAAGTGCATCATCGTCAATGCGCGCAAACGCGTTTGAGAAATGCATAATTTATACAAATTAAGTTATATCGCGAAATTGTCTCGTAATCGTTTTTATTTCGGAACATTGAAAAGATTCACTTGCTTTGAATCACCTGATTCTATATATGTTCATATATATAATCACATTCAAGTTTAATTATACGGTACATGGCATAAGCAAGTGGCCTTTAAAGTCCATTAAAAGATCGACGAATGTAAATCGTTGCAACAGCCGTTTTATCCGTTCCTTTCCTTGTGATCGCTGTATGGCTCTGTCCAAGCTCGTCTTTCACGTCTTAATTTGTAGAGTTAGAGATCTTTCGGAAAATGTATTTAACATTCGGTCCATGGTTGGACGCACTGTTTGTAATAGTTCCGTGCGTAACCGTCCTTGCATCTACAGCCGTTACCGCACACCTTTGTGCACTTGGCCTTGATCGCCCAATGGTACCATCTATTACGGCACGTCTGCCCACAGGGTGTATCATCGTCGTAACAGTTTGCGCCGAACTCCTCATTTACATAGTTTCCACACATTGTTGCCATCTCAATAAACTTTTCATAACTAAATGGAATTTCAACCTGGTAATCTGCACAGCGAGAGAAAAGTTGTAGATTATGTTCGAGATTTTTCTCTTGGATTAGCAATATAGCGATTACATATGTTACAACGCTCATATCAGATAGAATATTTTCGACACATTTATTTTAAACGCACAAGTCAAAACAATCTCACGAAGCACACACATTAGTCATTGCATATACAGTTGTGCAGATACATGGTACAAATGACGCCTATACAGATTCGATTAGAATATAATAGAATTAACAGAACGTTAATATTTTTTCCGTCTATACATGAATTTTTAAAATCGAGATTACAAATGAACTTTCGCTTTTGCAACTGTCTATTATATATTTGTCGATATAAATAACTGATTGAGAATTAACTTAACATAAGTGGCCAACAGTCAAAGATAATAAGCAGTTATTTCAAACATCAATGTCCTTTTTAAGAAAATACGCGATGAAAAAAGGACCATAACACTAGAGGGATTGACACAAGCAGAACAACGGGTCACGCACGACAAAGAACAACGTCAAAATGATATTAAAATGAATCGGGACTAATCGAAAAATGACTTTTTCAATCATTTTAGGATCATTTTGACATTATTTTAATGACTTTTTTTCCGCTTCAGAAGAGGCAGCTTATCCATGGAATTGACGAATACACAGTAGACATTGACGAATACACATGTGTAATTAAGCAGACGCGATTAAAGCAGACTTTTATAAATACACGAATCTAATTATTTTTATTCAGTTGACTACCGAAACCAAAACAGAACATGAAGTATAGTACACCAAAACTTACTTCCTTCAGCCTCCATAGGCATGCTGTCGAAACAATAAACGCCAATGAGAACAGCAAAAATGAATACGAAGATTTTCATCGTGCACTCCCAGCAGTCTATAACGTATATGAAAAATGTTGCGCGTCGTTGACGACTTTAATTCTTTCGCTACAATAGTTATCGAACGCCAGGCGCGTGCTATATATTTGAAAGAGTAACTACAGTCACTCGCCAAGTGGCGCTCGGCTGTGAGGGTAGAAACTCACTAATAAGAGTCTAGGAAGAGTGATTTTGTCGAAACGAGAGAGAGAAATATATATATATATTTATATACTGTCTTCCTCTATATACTCTATCTCATTCTAATAAGTATTAGATATAATTTCTCTTTCTCATTCTAATAAGTATTAGATAAATTATTACGTAAGACAGTATAAGTATACTGTCTTACGTAATCATTTTAACGTATTGGATACATTCAAACAGTCGCACTATTGCAAAGATAAAGATGGAATGCTTAAAATTTGTTGATATTAATTAAAAATAAAAATACTCTAATTAAATTTTTTTAAAGTAGAATGTTTATCATGCATTTACTTCTTCCTACACGAGTTTATCAAAATCTAAATTTGAGCGGAAATTGATAAAAACAGTGGACCAATTAGAAATGGCTATTTCATATCCGGGCTCTTATTAAAGAATTTCTAACTAAAAGTGATCACTTCGGTCACTCAATTTTTTGTCAAAATTTTTGTGTGAAGACATTTTTATATAAATATTCGACTATGCCTTTTGTAATGTTGGTCTATGAATATATCTGTTTTGAAATTTATTATATACTATAAACTTTATTATTAAATAATTTAAAAAATTTGGAAACTATATGTATACTTCATAATTTGGTATATATCATATATTAATAGAAACAATTAAGTTTTACTTTAATAGACTATTTTTATATACATTTAAAATATTTTATCATTTTTAATTCTTTTGCGACGAATAGTCGCTATAGTACTCGGTTGCAAAATTGTTCCATGCACTGTATAGAAAGCGAATTCGCACTCCCGTCTAAGAGTAACGTATCCTCAACGCAATTCAATCACCACTCCCATATGTGGTTGAATTGTTGCGGCCAATGCCGTTGTCATAAAAGAGTTAAGTAGTCGTGGAATAAATTTGTACTCCAATATTATGTATATACAACAAGTTTTCTCGTCTGGAGATTCTTGATACTGATGGACCATTAATCGTGATTAAAAACCGGGTCTTTTGATATACTCAGGCAGGAAGGAAGTGACATACATGTTCATTTTCTACGTGGAAAATCGAAGAGTTTTACAATTTTCTTGCAATGTTTTATACATGTATGTGTAATTGTACATGTATGTATGTATGTGTGTGTATTTAATTATATAATCAACTTGTATACATATAACATGCATAAGTATTTTGTTCTGTTAATAATAAGTGTCTATCAAAACAAAGCGAGTTTGTCAAAACAAAAGAGAAATATGTACATGTACATACTGTCTTTCCTTGTATAGTTAATATATATATAAATTTTATTTCAATGCATTATTTATATATTTAATTTTAAAATATATCATTTTGTTCAATTTTTTTGAACAAATGATTAATACAGTAGCTTGCGAAACTATCCCATTGCACTCCCACCTAGCGATAGCATATAATAATGGCCAATATACGAGTATACTATCATCGCAAAAAAGTGTAGTACTTATGGCATATCAAGTTAATGTAAGCCCTGATATCAAAATACCGCCATCAGTTTTCGTGTGCAAATTTTCAATATCGATATGCCATAAATTATGACTAAAAAAGATCGTTAGGTATATTGAGGCAGGAAAGAGATGATATATGTACAAATAAAATTAAATTTCCTGCGGCGGGTAATCAAGGAGTTTTGCAGTTTACTAGCAATGTTATATGTATTTACGCGTTCAATTGTACAGTCAACTCATTTTACGTACAACATGCATAAGTATTTTATTTTAAAATAAAATTGTTTGTATTACAGCTTAAAATAGAAAATCATAAGGAACTGTATAATCTTTTTTTTTTACAATAATTTTTTATCGAGATGTTCGCTAAAGTTTACACATTGCTGGTTTTATCTATAGTTAATACAAAGATTACTTTAACTATTACGGTGATCCAGCATAATAAAGTTTTACTGTTAGGCATTTGAATATAATATATGAACAATAATCTGCTAGATCTTACACAGAATGTTTAAAACGGAAATACATAATCTTTCTCGAAAATAATTTTGATTTAATTTAAGTTCCGAATATTTTTCTTATATACAAAATAAATGTATAAAGAAGATAAACAGTTCTCTGCTTTCGATGACAAATAATAATAAAAAGCCACTTGTTAGTTACGTTATATATGTGTAGCCTCTTAAGTTGCATGTTAATCAAATGAACTATTTGTAATTACATTATATATATATATATATATATATATATATATATATATAGAATAAATATGAATGCAATAATTAAACAATTAAATTAGACATTTATTATACATTTGATGTGAGTTTCTTTTACTGAAAACGATCATTTTCAGAATTATTTTTTTAATTCGTCGACAAAATTTAACAAATCCTTATAATAGTCATGATTGTGTATACATAGTTTGATCAATAACTAAATAATTCAAGTCAGTTTGAGTTATTTTTAAGTCAGATTGATTTTAAGTCATTGCAAATAAAATTAAGATATCTGAAAAACAAAATTTTCGACCGTTATATAATGTTATTGGTGATGCAATAAAAGAAAGAACATTAAAACTACAAGTGTCTTGATATATCACATGTCGGTTGATTACTCAGAATACGAACTATGCATGAAAAGAAAGTTATACCCTATATTACACAAAAGCAGCGATGGTAAGCGATCGTAACTAACAACTCTTAACTGCAACAGCTGTCTCCATTAAAACGTTCTTGCTTCGCCTGTTCATTCGTTTTACGCATTCAATGTACTCCTTGCCTTTCAGGTGCATTGTCGTCGATGCGCGCAAACATATTTAAACAATTCATAATTTATCCAATTTAAATTATAGCACGGCATTTTTTCGATATTCGTTTTTATATCGGAACATTGATAAGATATATTTGTTTTAAATCACTTGACTATATCGATATACATATATAATCACATTTATGTGTAATTACACAATGCATAAGTAATTTTAAAGATGTTTCTGAACAGATTAAGACTTATAAATCGCTGACAGGCGTTTTATCAGCTCCTTTTTTTATGTTCGCTGTGCCTTATCCGAGCTCGTTTTTTGCGTTTTAATTTGTAGAGGTCACTTGATAACTGGATTTAGTAGTAGAACCGACATTCGGATTCTAAGATGCACATTTTGTGGTTTAACCGCGCGTAACCGCGCTTACAAACGCAGCCCTCAATGCATCTTCTTGAGTCTCTCGTCGCCCTGGAGTTTCCAAAAATGCGTTCATATTCAGAACAGAATGTCTCCACGGCACAGTTCATGTATATCTCATTTTGTCCGCACGGCGTGGCTAAAGGAGGCACAAATTGTGTAATTAGAACATCTTCAAAGCGTGAAAAAAAGTTATAAAATTATGCTTGAGATTTTTCTCTTGTATTTACAATATGACGATTACATAGCCATAATGCTCAAATAGAACTTTGACTTTTTCGACATATTTAATTTGAATATTTTGTATGTACGTTAAACAGTCATACGAAGCACGCACATATGTATACATGTTTTAAGGTACATTGTGTTTCATGAATGCGTATTATGTATTATTTTATCTTTATTCAACATTCAGAATAATAAGGATAAAATGATATATCATGCGCATCATGCACGAAACAGTATGCACATCTCCATGACGCCCATCGATCGGTTAGCACACATATAATAAAATATAGAAGAGTGTTAATATATTTCGTCCGTTCTTACACGTATAAGTTTATTTAAATCAAGATCGTATATAGATGAATTTTTTCTCGCTTCTGCGTCTTTCTATTACATATATTTTTGTCAGTATGGATCACCGAGCGAGAATTAGGTAACGTAACTGATCAACAGTTAACAATAATAGTCAGTTCTTTCAAACGTATAACGTTCTCCTAAAGAAAATATTATGTGATGAAAGAAAAATCTAGAATATAGAGTAATGAGAAGTAGCCAATCCAAAGAGCGCGGAATTTCCATGCCAACATTGACAAGTACGCACGCGACGCAATTAAAGTAGACCTTTATAATTATCTTAATCAATTTTTTACAACTAATTACCTACAACCACTCAAAGTAATAAAAAACCTACAGAGTACAATATACTTACTCTTTGTGGCTTCCGCAGATACGCTGTCTAAATTATTGAAACAATGAAGACCGAGAACGGCAATAACGAAGAATACGACGAATCCCATCGTGTATTCACAGCACTGTATGAGATGTGTATGAAAAATAACACTCGTTGTGTCGTCGTCTTCAATCTTTTCGCTACTAAAGTCATCCAACGCTGTGCGCTCGTTATTATGTATGTACGTTAAGAGAGACATATAAACAACACCATGTAACGCTCGTTATATACGAAGGGTAAAGACCTTCTATTAAGTGTCTATCAAAACAAAACGATTTTGTGAAAACGAGAGAGAAATATTATACATTCTGTCTTCCTTCATATATAGAACCTGTATATAGAAATAAATTTAATAATTTAATAATTTTATTTAATAATTTTTTTCTATCTGTATACAGAAATAATTTTATTTCAATGTATTATTGATATATTTATTTTTAAAATATTTTATCTTTTTTAATTTTATTCGGACGAATGATCACTATATATAGCGACTTACGACACTGTCCCATGCGCTGTATAGTTTACACTCCCGCATATCGGCGTTATATAATGCTACCGTCGCGACATATCAAAATCCATCAGTTTTCTCATCTGCAGATTCTCAATACCGATGTGCCACAAATCGTGACTAAAAAGGATCGTTCGATTTCATTCAGGCAGGAAGGAGACGATTATACATGTTACATTTTCTACGGCAGTAATCGAGTTTTGTAATTTTTTGTAGTGTTATATATTTGTGTTCAATTGTACAGCCAACTCGTTTACATACAACATACATAAGTATTTTATTCCATAATAAAATCGCTCGTATTAGCTCAAAGTAGACAATCGCAATAAGGAGCTCAATAATCTTTTTTTTTTTTTTTTGACAACATTCTATCAACAAAGTTCTATCAAGATATTCGAGCTAAAGAAGTTTGCATCGCTAGTTTTGTTTTCAGTTATTACAAGAATTACTGTAATTATTACGATAATTACGATAGACAAAATGAGTTTTACTAGGCATTCGAATATATGAGCAATGATTTGCTAGATTTTGCGGGGAACTTTTAAAACGGAAATGCATCTTCCCCTTAAATAATTTCTGTCATTTCAATTTAGTTCTGAATGTTTTCTAAAATCAAAATATACATTATATATAAAGAAAAGGAGATATCCGTTTTTTCAATGACAAATGATAATGAAAAGCCACTTGCCAATTATGTTCTATATGTGTAGTCTTTTAATCGAGTACCTTGCGTATTAATAAATTCAGAACTATATAATTCCATTATATATAGGAATATGAATATAATTAACTAAACATTTAAATTAAATATTTATAACATATAATGACATAAGTTTTTTCACTCATTATTTAAGAATTATTTTAAGAATTATTTCTTGAAGTGTCAAAAAAATTGAATAAGAGAATCTGTAATAGTCATGATTGTACGTAGTTTCATCAATTCTTTTAATTAGTTCGATTCATCATTTAAATCAGACTAACTTTTAATTCATTGAAAACAAAATTAAAATAACATCTAGAAAATAGTATTTTCAACCATTATATAAATAGTTATTTGTGAGAATAGAAGAGATCGACACTAAAGCTATGAGTGGCTCGATGTGCCTCGTGTTAATTGGCGTCATGTCGACTACCCAGAGTACAGGCGTTGGAAAGAAAGCTACTATCACAGAGAGGCAGCGTCGGTGGCGGTAACAGATTTTAGCTACCAAATCTTAGCTGCAATGGCTCTCTGCATTAAAACGTTCTTGCTTCGCTGTTTCATGCGCTCAATGAAGAACTCCTTGCCGTCCAGGTTATCGTCGACAGGTTCGACCCCTTCATTCTGGCAACAAACGAGATTTAGTTGGCTCGTGGCTAGTGTTCCCTCGCGGGTGTGGCTGATCATCATCATTTTCTTCAGATGTTATTGCTCGTTTTTTTTTTATCATCAATCAGATTATCATGATCATCATCATATAAAGACGAGCTGATTGTTTCGTAGGCCGAAAACCTACGCGGAGTCTAACCAACCTTGGTGCTGGCTGCATCGCCCCCCTCTCCCTCTCCCCATCTCTCATAGTCGTCATCGTCCCTCTCTTCTCCTTCGCTCAAGGGCCCGGCTTGTCTCTTGTTAGGTGGCACGGTCGAGCTGCCGCTACCACCCTGTTGATGTTCAACGTCGTCGCCTCCTTCGAGCATCTTGTTAATCTTCTCCTTCGCTTCGTCAACCTTCCTCATCGGATCGGGCGAGTAGCTGCGATCGCTGTATCGATCGCGCGACGAGGGTCGGCGATCCCTGAAGTCCCGTCTGTCGCGGAAATCACGGAAGCCTGGTTTGTTGTGAAAGAATCTACCGCCGCGATTACCGCGGCCGCCACGACCGCCGCGATTGAAACCACCGCCGCGACGATTACCGAAACGATTGTTGTGTTGATTGTTGTAGAAGCGATTTCGATTCTGGAAATTGTTGCCACCGCCACGGTGATTCGGATTGTTGAAGCCCTGGAAGCGTGGCTTGTAGTACGTGCCGCGATTGTTATACGGTCGGAATTGCCTCTTGCGATAGTAGCCTCGATCGCCCGACCGACTACGACTGCGACTTCTGCTGTACGATCTGGATCGGGAGCGTGATCGCGATCTGCTGTACGTGCCCGAAGGAGATCTGCTGTATTTCCTCTCGTAGCTGCCGGATCGTCGATTCGAGTACGAACGCGAGCGACTACGTCTTGGCGATCGTGATCTAGACGACCCGGAACTAGAAGCACTGCGAGATCGACTACGCGAACGTTTCGCCGGACGGTCCCTGCTCATGCGCTTACTCATGACGCCTCTGCCGCCCGACTCGCGCTTCTTCGGCGTTTGTCGGTGCTGACCTCGCTCGTTCTCGCTGTCAGAATCGGTTCTCGGACCTTTGGCTTGAGTCTTTGTTATTGGCGGAGGACGCGGTGGCTCCGGTGGATGTCCAGTTCCGCTGTTTTGACCAATCGGTTGGAACTTGCCGCCCAAATTGTTGCTAGAGCCAAACTTTGTCGGTGTAGTTTGCGACACGGACATAGAAGAATCCTTGTACGATTGAAATTTATTCTGTGGTTGCGGTGTAGGATACTTGACGGGCGCTTGCTTTGGTATCGGAGGCTCTTTCGGCAGCGGCGGTGGTGTCGGTGTAGGCTGCGGCGGCGGTGCTCTTTTCTCAGCGAGTTCGCGTTGCATTTGCTTCCGTATGTTTAAAGATTTCTCAAGAGCCGCACGTTGCAATCTTTCCTCCAATTCATTATCATCGTCCTCGTCGCTGTCCACGAAAACATTGGACTGTAGCTTCTTGTTCTCTGACGGGACATCTTGCCACTTTTGCGAAGGAATGTCCTTTTGTCTGAAATCATGCGTGAATGTAAATCCATAGCCAAAAGTGAGTAAAATATGAAACAATAACTGAAATAAGTAAGATATAAAATCTCAATATCTTGTAAATTATTTTAACATGTTGTTGTATGTGCCTCCAATTACTTACCTAGCAGCTTGCGCAGCTTTCCACTTGGCATTTAATGCAGCGGTGTCTAATGTAGGGAGTTTCGGTTCAGGATGAATCAATTGGGATTCTTGTTCAAATATGTCTGTGAGCGGCTTCCTCTGGATTTCTATGATTATTGAAATAATTATACGATAAGATCTTGTATTGTTGTATCCGCTATACTTTAATACGTATATTATACATACCTTTTCTCTGTTGCGCAGTCATCGGCATCCTGGATTCCCGTTCATGATATGCCTTCGAAGCTTCTTCTCTCTCCCTTTCCCTCTCTCTGCGCAGCTCCTCCTCCCTGCGTGAACTCTCAGTGAGCTTCTCCGCGTTGCTAAGAGGGGAAGGTATGTCATTATACTGTGTTGCTACATACCTAGTAAATATAAAAATATAAGAGATAGGTAAAATACGATATCTGACGGACCGCGTGATTTCCATTCATTTGCGTTAGCTGAGGATACAAAAATAGCATAAATAAAAATAGATCGCACAACAACGCGAGTTTAAATCAAACAGTGCTCAACTGGAAGATAATACAAAAAAAAATATTAAACTCATTATTATAAAGAAAATTCCAACAATGATTCCAACCTTTTAAGCGCCGCACAATCTTTCTCAACTTTCGCATAATAAGCATTAAGCTTGGACTCTAACTGTTCCAAATCCGGCAAAGATGACTTTTTCAATGCTTCTAAATCTCGTTCGAGCTTGTCTTTGTTTTTACGCTTTTTTCGCTCTTCTTTCTTCTTCTTCTTTCGACTCTTCTTGTCCTCCTTTTCCTTATCTTTCCCCTTCTTTTCTTTCTTCTTTTTTTTCTTCATTTTTTCGCTCTCAGAGTGTTTCTTTTCCTTTTCTCTTTCTCTCTTCCATCTTGCCGTCTCTTCCAAGAACTTTCTTACCTGTTCGCACATACAAAATTCATTTTGTTATTTCAAATTTTTATGTTGCATTACTTTCAAATATATTGTAATTGAGTAAAATTATAAAGTTATACTTGCCTTATCTTCATAATCAGAGTCATCCTTGGTTTGTTCAAGAAATTTGCGCACTTTGATTTCATAGTCATCCATTTTCTCGCGTGTATTTGTGGTGTAAGAAGCCGGTGCAATAGTATCGTGAGTGGTGGCAGTTGCAGCCGGAGGATTGTTATACTGGGCCATTCGTTTGCTAAGCGGTGAAAGCGAACTGCGATGATCTTTCTTATGTTTGCGTTTACGATTTGGCGAACGCGATGCCGATCGTGAGCTTCCCGACGATGACGAGCTGCTCGAATCTGAACTCGAAGAGGTCGAAGATCCAGTAGATGAGGAGCTCGAGCTGGAACTCCATCTTTGTCTCTTCTTCGATCTAGATTTTCTCTCCTTCTTGCGTTTCTTTTTGTCCTTTTTGTTTTCTGTAACGTCATTTTCAGTCTCGAAGCTCTTAAAGGTGTCCAGAGGATTCAGTGACGCCGTGAGAGTCTTAGATTTTATGTATTCAATGGAATTTCGCGCTTCCTCGTGATATGGTGCAATCGCCAAACAGTTCTCATACGCTTTTTGAGCATCCTCGTACTTCTTCTCGTCTTCGTAGCTGCGTCCAAGCGCAACAAGTGTTTCCGCCATATACTTACGAGCATTCGCATGTGTTTGATTTAATTTCAAGGCTGTCTCGAAATCATCGATTGCTTTCTTGAAACTTCCACTATTTGCATATCTGTAATACAAAATGGTATATTAAATTACGTATGTACGTACATTAACATAGTAAACGCGCGTACAGTGCAAACTTCAATTAGAAACTTACAATGCTCCTCGAGCGACCAAACCCTCAACATTGCGAGGATCAACAGTAAGAGCCTTGTTGAGACACTGGAAAGCTTCAGAATGACGACCAGCCTTGAAATGATCTATACCCTCAGCAACACTTCGGAATGCCCACTTACTCGCTTGCGCTTGTCGCAATTCAGAAGCGTACTCATTCGGCGGAAATCTTTCTCTGCACATCAATAAATAAACATAATTAGGCATATACAATACAGAGAAAACATATGCACAAAAATAAATTTTATAATAATATTTACCTCAATCCAACCATATTGGAATGATTGTCTTGTCCGAGACCGATTAAGTCGCACAGATATTTTATGTTGTTTGGATTGTTGAAGCCAGTACTATTCTCCAACAGCGTATCATAACTCTGGCCTTTGTTGTCCATCGCTTTCCTACACCACAGAGAAAAATACCTGGTTAACGAACATTGCAACAATCATCGTGACCTTTGCCAAAGAAGAGGAAACCAAAGCTACTTCATTAACGGTAAAACCAAAGACTTGATAATCATGGCAGCCGAGTCCTTATTGATCCTGTCGATAAAAAACATCGCCTCTCTGGCAATTCGTGTGCGCCTGCTCTCCGACATCTTGTCGTACTTCGTACGACTACTTTTCTGCTTTGTAAGCACATGCATATTTATGTGTGCATTATTTGTTGCAGTCTCTTCCCACATATACACATATAACAAAGTTTAATTATTCATTTATTCCTCTACAATGACGTTCCTTCCTTCTCTTCGATCTGCATGTATTAATCAATGACACGATACTAATGCCAAAAGTGCTTTAAATATATTAAATCGGTTCTTCTTGCTCGCGTTATATACAGATTATTGCAACTTTTGGAATTAGAGCCGTTCAAAATCTACGTTTGTACCGTTAAGAAGCAGCAGGGGTCCAAAACTGGGATACGGTGCAAAAGGTAAGATTCCTTTTTTATTAGCAAATATAATCTCATTGTTATAAATTTAATTTGATAACAACCTATTATGTAAACTCGTCTCTCACCTTTCACCGTTAAGACGCATATTTCTAGTATTTTGTATCACATTTTGTAATCAGAGCATTTTTTTTCTCAACACAAAATCACACGGCCTATCATCAATCGATGGTGTGGTTTCGGTTTTTATAAGTATTTTTGGTGCGATAAAATAAATTGCATAACCCTAGAATAGGTTGGGAGCCACGCCTGAGTATATATTATCTTCCAAGGCGGACCAAAAAAATTTTTTTTTAGATGTAGAAGTTTCGTCTGTTTGCATTTTGTGGTGTCAATTATCAACATGACATCACTTTTTTTTTCTATTTGTCAATATAAGCTGTAAGTTTAAACATGAAGGCATTATTATGACAAGGCGCGATTCTTTTGAGGATTAAAGATAAAAAGGTTTTTGGACGATTAAGACTCGAGTTGTTTGGTCTCTGCTCTTCAAGTCTGATTAACTTCCTCTAGAGATTATAAAATTTAAAAAAAAAAATCTATTCCATCTTACCTTCAACAACGAAAATACGGATCGAACACGAAAATATGGATACCTCTTGCCATGATACAGAACATGATATGTGCGAAAAGATCATATTAGTATACATCTTATGAGAAAGAATAACAGTAACATACATATAAATATCTACACTTTTCACTTGATATCCTTATAAGAGACCAAACAACTTTAAATCAGTGTTATACCTACCGTCTGTTGCATTCACTCTGACCGGCTCAAGGCTCAATGTCTCATACTGGAAATTCAATCTCAAAAGTCATTTGCGCCATAGTCTGGCTGGTGCTTTGAGAGTAATATACCGTAAACGTAGATAGAATATGTGCGCAATAGAGCCATATCAACCAATGCTCAAGGTTTGAATTCATTTGTATCACATTAGAAATTCATCATCATACTGACTATCAACTTTTTACGTTACATAGAGTGTCTGGCACCTAAATTCATAAAAATGTGTAAGAGGAATCAAAACTAATTCACCTAATTTTGTTAGTATCAGTGCTTCTGTTAAAGTTCGACTTTCTTTTCCCACCATGCCATATTTATATTTTTATCTTTATCTTATTTAAAAAAAAAATAGAAATAAAAAAAACCTCAAGACAGAAACGAATACGACAAATTACACACACAATAATGAAATCTACTATACTAAAGAGCAATAAATAAATAAAAAAATCAATGTGTACTTTACATCTCAATAGATCACAATTGAATTAAAAAAAGTTTCACAGTGCAGATGCTCTTACAATACACAATGAATAGAAGTGTGACATCACAAAATGCTCTCATTGTTTATCATGTGAAGAAAACATCTTCTGGAGATATACATATATATACATATATGTACATATATATGTGGAGCCAACTTACAAGAGTTAGTGAAGCATATTATGGATTCGGTAGACTTGCAATTACATTTCTAGTCAAATTGTTCTATTAACTTACTTATAGGCTTCTGGAAGATCATCGGAATGGATAAGTCCCATAGATGGGTGTGGTGCTTGCCCTTCCCGGGCAGGTACGTTCATAACTGCGACAACTCGTTCGGCCTCAACGTTAACTTCACTGACTACGACGCAGACGAGATCATTTGCCATGTAGCCTCTTGTAACACCTTTCTTGTCCACCGCCGGCACAGTGGCCGTATTTAGTATTAGTGCCTGTTATAAACATAAAACAGGCATTAAATACCTTTGTTATTTAAATACGAATAAAAATTTAAAGCACAGAACTCCGTTTATCCACACTCCATTTTTACCAACAAATTTGTGCTCAGTTTCAAATATACGAATTTAATATAAATTAAAATAGCCGAGCTTTTATTATCCAAATGATAATCCTTATTATACATCCGAATAGTAAAAACTCGACGTGTAAAAGCTAGACTTCAGTTTTCTCAATGTTAGCTCCAGTTATCAGAATTAGTAAGTACATCAGCTCCTGTTATCGAAACTAGTAATTGAGCCACTGTTATCTGAACCATTTTGTTATCAGAACTGCCTTCCGACATGTTTGGATAAACGAAGGTCTGCTATACATTGGACGTAGAATCGCACAAAAAAGCAATATTTGAGTGACATATCAACATACCTTAACTCCTAATTCAGTAACAACTCTGGGACAGTCACTGCAGTTACAAAGCACCTTTAGAAGAAGACCAGCGGCACTTTTACCCATTACTTGCGCGAATATTACATCCCCAACTACCAAACTCTGTAAATTAAATATACGATATTAGACGTAAATTAGATATACCAAATTAGAATTGCTATAAAATTTCCTGGGAATCAATGTATTCACTTTCAGATCCTATTTTTTTTTATCATTACCTCTAAAAAGTTGCGGATACGCTGGGACTTCTCCATGGTGACAAAAGTATCAAGTGCAGGCACTGTAGCATAAAACTCTGAAAGCAGACCAGACGGACGTTATTGCACAACATTGCGTAATATTAAGTTGCACCTGAAAAAAAGGGCGTGAAAAATTATTACCTTCGTCTCCCAGCTCCTGCTTATTAGAATCTGCTTTCTCCAAGTTTGCTTTATCGTATAGGTCGTCAGCCTTTTTAGTGAGAAACTGCTGAAGCTTCAGACGTTTGCCTCTATCTCCAAAGCTGTAAGAGACAAAAGGCGCATTCAACAACAATGGAATTTCACAGCACGTCGGAATATCATTGTTCAAAAAAGGTGACCGACGCATACCTGAGAGTCTTTTGTCGCTGTTGATAGATCTCAAAGCTGGGATCCTTGAGATTGAGCATGACTAGCTCATTTTCGTTACGCTCTCCTTCCCACACTTTCTGCAACTGCTGGCCGTGGTAGTTCAACGCTTGTGCTACGAGACGCGCATCCATTGATTCCATACTCGCTCAGCAAAGAGCGCCGAACCTAATCTGCAAGAACTATGAAAATCGTTGCGTTCGAATTATTCGTGCCTTCGATCGCGGATACGAGAGCACCCGAGTGTGTCCGTATTATATTATATATATGCGGATATACTACCCAAGAAATAAAGATACAAGGTAGCGGCACGTTGCTACACAGAGGTATCTCTAATCGTTCCCTCATGCATTTAAAAAATAAAAAATAAAAAAACCTTTGGACGCAGGATCCAGTAAAGGGGGATCGTCTAAAGGCAACGTGTGTCCGCCAAACAAACCGTTCAACAAAATTCGAAAAGTTATTCCATCTCTCTCTGCTTACAATCGCGTGCCCAATCGAGCACATTCGACTGCATATCGTGCGGAACTACTGGAGGGTCGCAGAGCGTTTTTGGCGCGTCATCGCGCTGTATCCGGAGAGACAAAGACGACCGCACCGTCGTCGGCGAAGCCGCTTCGACGGTCGCCCAACGTCGTCGCGTCGTCGTAAGCGCTCGTCGACGCCCTCGTGCGCCTCTCGGACGACGCCACAGCGGCCGTTCGTTTTTCGTTCGTGACAGCGCTCGCGCGTAGGCGGGCAAGGAACGCGCGGCTATATCGATCTCTCCTCCCGACAAGATGGTCGGTTTCAACGACCGGGGATTGCGGGTCGCGGGACATGAGCATTGACGCCATGACGCATGTCTCTTTCTCTCTCTCTCTCTCTCCGTCGAATCGCCACCTTCCTTCCCAAACAACGCAACAGACTCTCGACGCGATTCGGGTCGCGAAAATTACTGCGAGTGTTACTTACCGCTCGGCAGCCCGGACGTTTTTACGCGAGGAGGATCCGGCAACGAGACTCGGGGGGGCAAAGAATTACGCTGCGCCACGAGACATCATCGGAGGCGGGCAAGCGCGTGCACACACATCGACGTACGTCGCACGAGTCACGATTGCGTGTGACGGCGGACGGTGACGAGGCGGAAACGACGATGGTACGACCGTGCGGCGCATGCGCGAGCGCGACGCGGAACTACTTTTATCGAACGCCGGGCGCGCGCGCGCGCTATATAAAGCGTGCCGCGCCCCGCGTGACGAAGTAGTTCTTTGCAAACGGCCTTTAGGATTTATAGTTGCACTCTCGAGATAAATTTTTTACCGATTAAAAATGCAGAAGACAAAATTATACAACGTAAGCTCTTTTTGCTGCAGACTGCGAGGTCGCGCGACTTGCGGGCAATTATAGGATGGAATGAGTCACCTTTTAATAGTATAATAATTTAATATGTAAATGATACCGTAATGTATGTTAAACAATATAATAACGCTTCGTAACAAACATATATCGAGAATTTGCAATAAACTATAACACAGAAGACGTATAAAATACTTCTTATTTTACAGCTTGTAAAATAAGTACAACAAACGTTGTTCCGTTTTCATATTGGAAAAATTTAACAAGCATGCCGAGGTAACGCATTCAACAACAATAATCCAGTCTTATCTAACTGTGTGTACTTAATAAGTGACATTTTATAATATATTGTCATTTCTCGTATCTTTTAATAAAAAATAAGCGGTATTACTTCCGCTTGGACTTCCGGCGGGCTGCAAAATGATTATAATTATTACAATTCTAAATTATCTAAGTATTATTTCTGCAAACGTTCTCGGAAATTTATTTCATATTGGGCAAGTGATTCCCAAGTATTCGCCTATAGTCACATTGGCTTTGTAAAATGTCATTCATGCAAATTTTTCTTCGTAATTACGCGTTATTGTTGATCTACGTATATCACTTAATCTCTAGCTGTGTATAAACGTTTCCCTATTTCCCTTCTTTCGCTCTAGCTTCTTTTCTTGATCTTTTCCTTGCTCTTCACGTCGACGTTCCAGTAGTAGAGAAGCTGCGCCACTATCATACCGTTTGCCAGAGTGGAGCACACGTACATCGTTATCATGGTCGTGTCACCCGTTTCTTGAATGGAAGTAAAAATTCTCGCGAGGGAGCCGAAAAAGAGCATTAAACACGTTGCTGCCGATAACTGGCCGGTATTTCCATTGGTATAATTTGTATAGGCTTGCATGAACTGTAACAATCCCATATGAAATCGTGGATTAACATATTTGCCACGTATGCCAGATAAGAATAAGCGAGTTCTCAAAAGTAAATGCAATTGGCTGCGTTCAGCAGAAAAAGTGGCTTTGCAACTGGTGTAAAATTCTTTAATATGATTAATTTATACATTTAAACCCATGAAGAACCAAGGGCAAGAATCAATCACGTTGAAGAATCTCACAACAGTTGCAAAGCTGCTTTCTCTGCTGAATGCAGCTAATTTTGACAATTCATCTACGTACCTTACTTATAAGAACAATGGGTATATTCATTGCTTGGCATGCCCAGAGAACATGAAGAGGCGTTAGCCCACTATTTGCTGTGCAAATTACTGCCAGATAAGCAGAAAGGAATGCGGTTGCTTTCGCTGTTTCCCCGTTATAATGCATTACTAGAACCGCGATGATCAAAGTCTGAAGGCCTAAAAATACTCCGTCTCCCCAGGCACTGAAATTATAACACGATGAATAAATTTGTATAAAATTAATAATTTTATATGCAGAGTAATAATTTTCTATGCAAATTAATAATTTTATTTTGCACGACTTATGCAGGCATTTACATTTAATAAATTATTTATTCACCTAAATGGAAAACTACTGCTGAAACTGTAGGAAGACATCGCAGTGATGGCGAATAAATCCAATAATACGCTGAAGACATTGATTCCCTTGCCGCTTTTATTTTTTAGAATTTTCACAATTTGAGGTATCTTCACTAAAAAAAAGAAAATGCATTTGGATAAGGCACATGTGACAGGAATATCATTTAGATAAGACACATCTATGTATAAAAAAAGCTACATGACTGAATAACATTTGTATTGATATACAAGCTATAATTAATATGATAATTACACGTAAAAGATTATATAAATTATTAAATAATAATTAATATAGATTATTAAATAAAATACTTCAATTTTTTTTCAAAGCAATGAAACGCGAATATCTTTGTATCCAGAAATAATGTACTAACCCATCAAGGAACCTCCGATGATGCCCACTCCTAGAGCTTTGCTCAACGTCGCCTTGAAGCATCCGACTGAAACATTTTCATGATAATCATGTTTCATCTGCGATTATGTGTGTTTATTAGAAAATTTATTTTTAATCTCAATGATTACATGACAAGTTACCAACAAATTTTAAACTTGTCACATATAGAAAAACAGTCAAATATTGCATAATGATTCCTACATATAAGGCAAATGACTCGATTTTTAACAATAAAACAAGAATAATTAATCAATCACGCAAACCCAAGTATTATTATTTTTTTCATTTAAAATTTTAAATAAAAAAAAATGTCACTGGCTGAAGAATGACACGATGAAGAAGATCACGACAGAGATGCATGTAATATTATTGAAGCAAACGTACCGTGGAAAAAATTGAACTTGTCGAAGTACTCCTTCAGGCATTCCTGAGTAAATAATAATAACGTCGCTTTTCTGATATGTTGTGCCATATTGCCACAATTTGTCCTATATTCATTGACCGTACTACCTTGCGGTATAAATACGCATGGAATGTAACGGAAGACTGTCAGACGACAGATCCGAGAAGACTTCCGTAATCGCTAAGTTATCGGTGATAAGCAAAAACCGGAGCGTGTGCGGCGTGCCGATGCCAACCAATGCCAACTCACATTAGCGTTCGCAACGCAGTGGCGGCGTTCAGCAACTACTTGGTGCAACTACTTTGACCGTCTCGGATGGTAACGGAAAGAATGTCAGCGAAGAGCGCATCCAAATATTATTTTAAGAAATCGATCAAATATAAAAATTACAATTCGCAAAAAATTAAACTGAACTACAATGTTTACTAAAAATGTTTATAAGAATATTAAATATTATCCTCAGTAATGTCGATATAAAAGGATACATGCATCGTTCCGAGAAAAGCAGATATATCTGAAAAATAGACAGAAAAATTAATTTTATATATTGTATAATAATAATATACGCCTGTGTAGCGTTTAAATAAATTAAATCAAAATTAAAATGTTTTATTCAAGATTAATCTAATTATTTTAATTAAATTATTTTAATTAATTTAATTTCTATTAAAAATTAAAATAAAATGTTAAAATAAAAGTTGTTTCTTTTAAATATTGCATAGAGAAAAATAATAGAACTTTAATAGAAAATAAAGTAAAAATAGATATGCTACGGAATTTTATTACAATTTGTTTTTAGAGGATAAACGAGAGATGTGCGAATAAAATTTTTGGAGAACGCCGCCATCGTATTGGAGAACGCGACATATTTTTATTACCATACGCTAAAGGTCAGGCAACCTTGACATTCGCTCGATACAAGTAATACTGTAAGTAAGTTAAATAAGAAACAGACAGATAATATCTCGGTAGCGTAAGGTCGTGAAATTAGAAAGAAACGTACATTGAAAAATAAGTTTATAGGTAAAGATCCACGTATAACGATACACGAAACATGTAACGTATGTACATGAAATTTTCAAACAGTAACTTTTTCGAATTATTTCCTCTTCTTTTATACATTATTATTTTTTACGAGAATTATTTTTAATAAATTCTCAATATATCGCTTATAATTCTCGCGATCGGCGAACTTCATCTCTCGCTGTCTCTTCGACGCTGTCGCGGCTCGCGCTGCCCTTCAGCGACAGTAACATGTCAATCACGCGGATCGGTCGCGTTTCTCCATTTTATTAACTATTAATATTTCGTAAAATAAATCCCTCAAAATTTCGGAGTATCGGAGATCAACGCTGTGCGCGCGCGCGCATCGCTCTTATCTCGCACGCGATCGACGCCGAATTTCCGCGGTGTCAGAGACGGAATTTGGCCGGTTGCCGAAAATAGCTAGGCTATCAAACGAGGGGGATCGAGACTCACCCCCTTCAGTCTCTCCCTCCCTCCCTCCCTCCCTCCCCGCCCTCTCGTAATTAGCGATACCAGGCCAAGCGAACGATTCATCAGGCTACTACCACCTGCCGCGACTTCTCCACGCGGCCACGAAGATGCAGCCGTGTAAGTGGGTCAGAGTGCACGCGAAGTCGAGGAACGGAGTCGTGGTCCGATTAACCACGTGATCGCTTTGACTTCCTCGCCTATATTCCAACGGAGGTCGCGCGAGGGGTGAAGGAAAGGGGAGGAGGAATTGTGCCGTGCGGGGGTGTGCAGAGGTACCTGGTACGCTGCTCGTTGCGCTCAACCACCACCCGCACGTGTCCAGGAACGTTTCGTTTGCCCTTATTGCCCAGGTTAACACAATCCGTTTCATCTGATACTTGTTCGCTATGTGTACTCACCCCCTCGCCCCTCCAACGTAACAATTAGAAAGTACTCGAGAGCGTGCCTTATCGCAACGAGGATCATCTTCGGCAATTATTCTTCCGCTTTTATCGAGACTGCCCTCAAGTAACAATTATTCTTTGGTATTATAGAATCATTATATATTGGTTTAAGGAAAATAATATCTAGATGAAGCTTACAAAGACTTTGTTCGTCAGACAACGCGACGAAGATATAGAAAAGAGAGTTTCCTAAGAATCGAACTTTTTCTCAATTAATCCGAGCTGATTGGCTCCTTTTTAATGGCTCGGGGGGTGAAACGAGGGAGATCTCATTAAACGATCTCGTCGATAACGCGCGGCGGGGTATCAAGCGCGATCTTATTCCCTACAAGGGGCGCCTTAAAACACCCCTGGGGCGCGCGCCTGCGAAATATCAGATTCTACCACCTGACTCGCGTGTGTCCACATCGGTCGTCGTTCAGTCTTGCCTCCACTTCCATCCGGGCGTGTTTTTCATCTTCGCCGGAATAGTCCTACCGCACGGCTACTGGTTCTCGACTTGGATCCTCGAGGCAACGATCGTCAATCGGTCTTGCGCGAAAACGTTTATACTCTTTGGTATCGGCAAAGGATGTATTTATTATCGGGGAAGCGTCGAGAATTCAACAGGTATCAGAAGGGGCGCAGTCAGCTTCGTCACGGGCTATTTCGTTTTATTGAAAACTATATAAAGCACGTGCTCTCCATTCTCGCGTCATTTATATCAAATTCTATTTACGGAATTTTTTCTATATCGAACGTTAAGAGTACTTAAATAATACTTTAATAATAACACGTCCTTAGAGTTGATCTAACAATAAGTAATTTGTAAGTGTGAGTATATTTACGATATAGCAGTTTCAGATTAAAATAACGCAGCTTCCTTCGAGCACGCCCTTTGCTGAAATCTATCGGAGCGATGAAGAACACATGAAAATTAAAGAAACGCTGCATTTGCGCGGGAAAGCTGTGCGGTTCTCAAGCCCGCTACATGAATGCCAAGGATGGATCCTCTTCAAATCTGGAAAGTTCAAGCGAAAACGAGAATGAAAAAAAAGAGAACATCGATGAGAACGAAGATGAAAATCCCGGAGAGGAAGTGGCGACAAAGACGGATGCAACAAATTGTGATACCAAATCCCTCAAAGGTTTGAAATATTTATAATTATACTCGAGCGCGCAAATAAATAAAGTAAGATAAGTAATATATTTTACAATCGCATGTCGTTCAAAATTATTATTTTTTTTAAGAGGAACCAGACTCTCTGGAGAACAAATGTGAGTCACCTTTAGAACTGCCTTTAGAACCAACCCTTCACGAGCGGTTCTTGCGTATCAAGCAAACCGTGAAGGACGCTATAGCTGCCCATCATACTTTTATGATTTACGGCAAGTCACGGGTCATTCGCGATTGCATGCTGAAGCGAGGATGGTGTGAGAAATTTTATCGCAAGCACAGCGGCGGTAATAAATCACGTACAATTACTTTATAATTACTCCAATGTACCGTTCTGTGTTTTTTTTTCAAGTGCAGGCGAAATGCGGCATTCTTCTACGTTGCTATATTTGAACTTTATGTCTTCGAAAATAATAAGTTCGATTTCAGGCGACCAACATTCCAACGTCGACTCCAGCCCGGTGTTTCTACTGGCTGGAATCGGCGAACTGAAGGATCAGCAAAGCCAACGTCTATTGATATCGAGGATGCTCGCCAATCACACCGTCGACTTCCTGTGGAACACTGGGTCCGACTGGCCCGGATGGCCTGCCCAGGATAACAAAACTACTGTGTTCAATCGATATTGCCGAGCTGGCTTCACGTCCAAGGTATCGTCGGTTGCATCGAATAATTTTAACTTTCATTAATATTACATTTTCAGTTGATGTAAAACGATAACTTATCTGATATATATTAGCAAAAGATTAACTGCGAATAGTTTCTCTTGGCGAAACTTGGCGAGCGTGACGGCTTTTGTGAAGTTGCGTTTGCGAAGTACATAGAGATGTTTGGATAGGCGATTGTAGCGAGAGTGGCGCGAATGCACGTCTCTAACGAGCGTGACGGTGAATCGTTAGGAGCAAAGTACTGTATGTACTTCTTCGAAAATCAATTATTCAGGTGGGCTTGTGTTCAAACGTCAGACAAATGCATTGGTATTACGAAGCTGGAGTGGCTAACACTTTGTTTCCGCGTTGCTACAACATATGCCAGAGCGATCAGATGCACGCCTTCATCGAAGACTTCCGGTGAGAGTTTGCCGATGACTTCAAAAAAAAAAAAAAAAAAAAATAGAGAAAAAAAATTGTACACTATACGCGCCCAAATCAAAGAAAAATTTAATATAATTACTCAATAAAATCGATGATATTTCGTTATTAGACTCACAGGCTGCCTGAATCTCTTAAAATGGTTGGTGGACAAGGTCAACGTCGAGGACGAAGACGCTGTGCGTTCGCCAACCGGCACGGTGCCTCTCAAGGCCCTCGATTTCGCGATCAAGAGATGTAACGACTATATCAGCGCCCAATCGCACGAGGATATCGATCAGGAGGCTGAGAAAGTTTGGTCCCACCAGTGGGATCAATTTATCAGTTGGTATTACCAGATCGTTTGCGGTCAATCTCTCTTCGTTCGCACCAACGTGGCCTTCAACGTGAGATATTCGCTAGCAAACACAATCTCCTTCTCTTCATTTACGTCAATTTATAATCGTACTTATGTCGTGTACTTTTCGACAGAAATACGTTCTGGCTTCGAAGCACATATTAAAGAAGATCAGGAACTACTGGCCGCAGATTGACATGGACGGTATAATGAACGTGTGGATCCTGAAACCTGGGAACAAGAGCCGGGGACGCGGTATTGTTCTCATGAACAAGCTAGAAGACGTAGTAGCGAGAGTAAATCCAACAGGCAAACAGGACACGCGATATGTCGTGCAGAAATACATCGGTATAATAAAACTTTCGGATTAATAATTAACGGAACGCTAGCTGATTAACGGCAGGTGTTTGCTTTCTAAATTCGTCCGGTTAAAAATAATCTCGTGATTCTCTCTGCTAGAGCGGCCGTTACTGATTCACAGCACAAAATTCGACATAAGGCAATGGTTCATCGTGTCGTGCGCTCAGCCTTTAACCCTCTGGATGTTCAGGTACGCAAATATATCAAGGATATTTAGATAAGTCACGACATTTCGTAATATCGCTCACGCCAGAACAATTAACAAGCACAATATGGCGACTCGACCGTAAGGAAAATAATGTAATAGTTTCAAAAGTAGGGTAATAATCAATTTATGCCTAGCTGACATTAAAGCGCGCGATCCTGTTTCCCCGGCAGTCAAACTTGCGGATATAAATATCCAAACAGTGTACACGACACAGTGCTATCTGCATTTAATTATCGCTAATAAAATAGCAGTCAAGGTAAAGACTTCGTCAAGCTTATTATTGCTTATTTACAGGGAAAGCTATCTTCGTTTTTGCTCGCAAAAGTTCAGTCTGGATGACTTCCACGAGTCGATTCACCTGTGCAATAACGCGATTCAATGCAAATACAATAACTGCGGCGACAGGGACTCTGCTCTACCCGCGGACAATATGTGGGACGCCACGACATTCAAGGAATTCCTCAGGTATGATTTATGCCACATTGTGTATATAAAGAATGACTCGTGCATTTCTTCAGAATTCCAGTTATATAAGTACAAGTACTATTTATGCTACTTTTTTTTTTTTTTTTTTTTTATTTTTTTTTTTTTTTAAATAAAGCAATATGCCAGAAAAATGATTCTCATAAAAATTCAGATCCCAAGGTCACAGTGATGCATGGGACGAGCTGATCTATCCCGGAATGAAGCAAGGTCTGGTAGGCTCGTTACTGGCCAGTCAAGAGGCCATGGATCGACGGAAAAACAGTTTCGAATTGTACGGCGCTGATTTTATGGTCATGGATGACTTTTCCGTGTGGCTGATCGAGATCAACAGTCATCCGGACATGAGCTACTCCACCAGTGTTACTACGCGATTGTGTAGACAAGTGATGGAAGATACCATTAAAGGTATACAATTAATTAACGATTTAATCTAGGCATTCTATCTTTCTCCTACATTATTACACAGTTATGCCAAAAATTATATTTTCCCTGGTATAGTCATGGTAGATTTTCGAGAAGATAAAAATGCGGATACTGGAGACTTTGAGTTAGTATACAAGCAGAGATTGCCGAGCTGCCAGCCGTACTTGGGCGCAGCTCTGTCGCTTCAGGGCACTCGTATCGCCACTTGCGAGAAGAAACCGAGTCTGTATCAGGATTCCAAATCCAGCTTAGTCGCACGATCGCCGATGGTAAGTTAGACAAAGATAAGAGATAATCTAGAGCATCGCTAGAGATCCAGTATCGACAGTGTTTGATTTATCCGTTCGTTAGACAAAGAAGAAGTCGATGGTACACAGCAACATCGGGCCAGTGATCGTCGATCTCATCGAGGAACTGGAGCTCCAGCTGGACCAAGAGTTGTACTCTTATTACAACGCAGATTCGCTCAAGCAGATACCAGCACTTCCGGCGACTGCGCCACCGGTGAAGCCTCCGAAGCCGTCGATTTCTGACGAGAAAACGGAAACCGTCTCGAAGAGTACTTCGGCAAGTACAACATCTATTAACAAGACAAAGTCACCAACTCCGTCCAGGACTAACGTCCAGGTATTTATAATTTGGATGAACCGTCGCTATTATTTCCAAAATCAATAATTATTCAACTTGTTAGTAATATATTCTATATATATATTAATATATTAATATAATGCTATGTTTTGCAGAATCACACGAAATCTTCGAATAATGGAAAAAGATCTTCGCACAAACCGCCACGAAAGTTACGCACATCTACCGGCACTACAGGCAGCAAACTGGATACATCTCCGAGACAAACGTTGATCTCGAAGATCATGGCTCTTCAGGAGCAATCGGCGAACGAGGCGCCTAAATCCGAGAAACCGTCGAAAAAAAATGAAGAGAAGGTTAATATTCGTACGAACTCTTGTCATTAAATGCTCAGACTCTTTTTTTCCTTCTGATTTCTTTATTAGATCATCAAAACTGCGATGCGAGACGCCGTGAAGAAGTACAAAAGAAACGTGACCGCTCGGCCAGAAGTACCGCCACTGCCTTCCCTACTTATGCCACCAATAGTAAAAGTCACGTCCGTGCCGACGAAGAGCAAGAGCCGCAGCAGCATCCCGAAAAAACAAACGCAGCACAAAAAGAATAAAATTTTAACGGACATATCCGATATGTATGCTGTCGGTTTGAGCCTGACCAAATAATCGAAGACAACCTGTCAGTCACTCGTTGCTCGTTATTTTTCTCTCTTTACTGTTGATCGATTCTCCAATTCTATCTACAAGTGATATATGTATACAACTAATAAATGTTACGATTATACCGCTAACACAATTGTGTTACTTCCATCAGCATGAAAAACAGTTTTCGGAAATAGTGTTTTATAAAAAATAAAAAAAAAACACGGTCGAGATAAATTCATTACGTTCCCAATTTCAACCGTTTGAATTTAAATTTAACATTACTCGAAAAATTTCCAGTCTGAGAATACTAAGATGTTCCCGCAAACGAATAAAGTTTTCGACAATGTTAGTGCATTCGATGCGAAGAAACACGTCGTAAGAAATAAATGTCTTCTGAAAAACGTCGAAGAGCTTACTTGGCACGGAACAAATAAAATGTCGAAGAAGTTCTTCCCCCAAAAGATCGATTAGAATACCCGAATTTTAAACAACCTCAATTAAAAGAATGCAAAGAACAAGAAAGAGAATTATCCGCCACATTCCCGAATGATCAAGAGTACGAGATAGATAAGATTCAAAAGCCAGTCTTTCAAAATCCCGCGGTAGAGAAATGTCTAAATGAGTTAATAAAGGAGACATTAAACAGATATATAGGAATCATGATAACAAATAGAAAAATTTAACCAAATAAAATACGAATCTTTCTAAAAAGCCTTTTACGAATTTGATAATAAACACGATATACCTATATCTTCGATCGCGATGACGTTTGTTGCTCGTAAAGTAAGGATTCACGTCATGTAATATGAATGTAGGTCATCGAGTCACACGATAATCGATAAGAGTATAAAACGGAAACAGTAAATTGTTGCTTTCGCAGTAAATTGTCAAGTCCGAAGACTAAATTTCGCGTGCATATAAAAGAATATCCAAATGAAAAATAAAAATCTAAAAATGTAATTTTCCCGACTTCGAAATTCAAACGTAAAATGCATTGCGACAATTTAGTGAGTACAGATAGTCAATCTAAATGGCAGATAACTTTATCCTCGAAAAATTGCACGATCAAGAAACATTTCGAAAGTTGGCAGGTATAGACAGGCATCGAAAGACTTCATAACAGACATATCTATTATCTTCAAATTTCCGCATAATTCATTTTAATGTCGCTTCACATCGAATCGTAGATCTGTCGAAAAGATGCGAGCAACGTAGAAAAAGATTTGCGGTTGATTTTAACGGTCCCGAAGTTGAAAATTAATTCGCAATTATGTTCGGCCGAGACGATCAACAAAACCGCGGATGCCGAGATCTGTTGCAATCGCGAGAATCTCGAAGAACTGTTCGAAGCGGAGAACAATGAGAGCGATCGGGAAAACGGAAACATAATATTGACGGATTATTTAAAATTGGTAAAGAACGACGAAGTCAGAATAAATCTTTTACTGAAAATTTTGACGAAAGCCGTGGATGAGCATAAATGCTATATGATCTGCGGCACATTTCCAATTCTGAAGAAACCGTTGACGGACAGAGGCTGGATCGAGAAAAGAGCGATTAAAAAAATGATATCAATCGCTTCCAATACGTACGAAGGTATTTTTTTATTTCGTACTTCTTATTTCAATCTATTAATTATCAATTCAAAAATCGTTATCTTCTTCCTTCAGACGGTTTACAGCAAATAGTAAAATTGCTCCGAGTTCCTGCGGATTTTATATGGTATATGAATAAGAGACCTGTTATACGTCCGGACGACAAGATTATCGTGAATAAATTTGCTGGTAGCTATTTTACGTCCAAGGTAATTTGATTCAAATGCATATGCGTCGGGCATCGAAAACAAAAAATATTTTTCTACTTAGCGGAATATCTATAGGTTGACATGTGTAACAACTTAGAGAAAGCCTATTGGTTTTACGAAGCCGGTGTGTCAAACATACAATTTCCTCGATGTTATCAAGTACGTAAATATAGAATGAGGCAGGACGGGTTATACCGGACAGGAAGTTATGTTACATGCAAAAATAAATAAAAAATGGAGAATAAAATTTTTTCGCACAATATTTCGTATTTCCGAGATAATCGAATTTGAAAATTTATCCGATACGCGTGCACTTACCGAACTCTCGACTAAACGGATTTTATTTTATGCAACTACATCTACATATAGTGTTACAAGTAATACTAATTTATAACAAATTTTAGTAATTTAGAAACAAACCATTATACAAAAAAACTTTAGTCTACATTTTCAATTTATTTTTGTATGTAGAATTTTTTATTCGATTGTACCCGTCCTGGTTCACTCTTATTGTATGTATATGTGTGTAAATTATGATATTTAAATATTAATATGTACGTTACCATATATTCATGTGAGTTGCTTGAATAGTCAGCGCAAATGGAGGAATTCGTACAAGATTATTACATCACTGCGTGTTTCGGGATTTTAAAATGGTTCTCGTTGCTCGCCAACTTGGTAGGGCCGAAGAACACCTGGTCGCCGAATGGAACAATCCCTGTAAATGCGATTTCGTTCGCCTTGGAACGCTGTTTAGAATACATAAGGTTACAGGCAACATTATTCGCATTATAAAAGTGCATTACATAAATACCGATACGAAACGTTTTTAGCATTCAAATACACGAGGACATAGATCGTAAAGATGATGATGATACGCCTCTTTTTGCCTGGAATCAATTTTTAGATTGGTATCACGAAATAATATACAAACGTAATTTATTGAAAGAAACCGACGAAGTCGACATAAATGTATGTATAAACGTCATAGTGCAATTTCTCTTATTTAACGGTTAATATTCTAATGTACTAAAATTAGGAAAAAAAGAATAAATATGATTAAAGAATTATGAGATTTGCAGAAGCTTGTAACATCTGTGCGCGATGTAGAGATAGCGATGATAAAGTATCGGCCGCAAAGTAAGATCGACGGTATAAGAAATATATGGATTTTAAAACCAGGCGACGACAGCCTGGGACGCGGAATTGTTCTGAAAAGTTCCTTAGTCGATATACTCGCCAAGGTGAACCAAGCAGCGAAAGAAAGTACCAAATATGTCGTGCAGAAATACATAGGCACGTGTCATTTGCATTTAAAATGCGCGGTATACCGTATAGAATAAAGTGAAGTATTTTAAGAGCGATATTATGCATCATATTTGCAATTACAATTTTTAGAGCGACCGCTGCTTGTTCACAAGACAAAAATAGACATCAGGCAATGGTTTCTGATAACCAGTACACAACCTCTGGTCGTATGGATGTACAAGTATATTTATCTTTTTTTCTTTTTTCATCTTGCGTTTATGCTACTCCTAATAACTTGAGTTATCTGAAAAGGGATATTTTGATACGGTTCGCTTCGAAAGATTTCACTCTCGACAATTTTCACGAGTCCATTCACCTGTGCAACACGACGGTACAGCTGAAGTATCGGCAGTTACCGATATGCAATTCCAGCTTGCCCGAGCAACGTCATTGGAGTCTTCAAGACTTCAGGGATTATCTTCAGTACTTATTATATTATTCTCTTACGAGAATTTTAAAAACTGTTCGATCGAGTATCTATCAACTAATCATCGATTTAGATCGCGCGGTCAAGAATTGGCTTGGGAAAAGATCATCAGGCCGGGAATAAAGCAAAATCTGATAGGAGCGCTTCTGGCGTCGCAGGATAATATGGTGAATCGTAAGAACAGCTTTCAGTTGTACGGTGCTGATTTCGTAGTGGCCGAGGATTTCTCGGTGTGGCTGTTGGAAATAAATACAAATCCACGATTGAATCCGCCGAGCAGCGAAGTCACGGCAAAACTGTATCCGGAAGTCATTGAAGATGCAATGAAAGGTTTATGCTGATTAAAGAAATAAATAAATATAAATATATACACATATATATATACACACACACGTAAAAATTACATTATTATTATATACGATACAATCTTTAGTGGTCTTGGATCGGCGTAAAAATAAAAGAGCGTCCCACGGAAGATTCGAACGTATTTACAAGCAACGCAATCCATTGTGCGGCGTCAATATTATGGGACAAGGCACGAGTCTCGGCATTCGTGGCAAAGGTTTATTCGTGACGCCGAAATCACCGCCGAGATCTCTGGCATAAAAAAACAACTGTATGAAGTAAGATTGCCGAAATGTATCTGTCAGAAAGTCTAATCGCAAAGAAACTGTTTCAATCTCCACGACAATCCGTTTCGGTAACGCGAGCAATTTCGAATTAGCATATAAACAAAATGCCATAAATCGCGTGTAAATCATCTACGTGTGTAGAAATGCACATCTGTGTTCTCTTCTCTTGATAACCTGAGATGTTGCATAACGCATGATGAAGCGGGACAATAATCGTATAACAGTAATTTTTATTAAAAATGTATTTATGTTACAAGTAACAATGCTGTAGGTATACAATCCTATATAGACAAAAAGTTCTTCTCTTTGCGGAGCAATGCGTTACACATTATTATACACGGTTAATGTAGATAGGATTATGTTACGCTTCTCACGCGCTTCCACATTCATTATTCATTACTATACGTACAAAATCATCTAACGTTTTGCAATATTTTTTTTTTACATCGTTATTTCAGTTAATTTGATTTCTTTGTCGTAAAACATATCGTCCCATTTTACCGTTTTGCAGAATAAATATACTCTGCATCAGATCGAAATAATGTAGGTAGTATTTAGATAGTGTATAATCATATAACGTAATTGTATGAAGTAGCTATCCGGTTTTTTTTTACAGTACTTTCAAGAAAATCATCGTTAATATTCGTCATCATATTTGGAATTTGTTCGTGAAAAACAACTGTTAAAAAAAGGGGGGAAATAATGTGATGGTTCTACAATAAATCTTCCATTCGGCCAATTTAACAGTATAAACAATTTATCTATTAATGCAACATGATCTAATGTGATACGATTTTCGCTGAAATAAAATCGACTTTTGTATATCGTATTATAACAGAGGACCTGCGATGTACAAATAGCGTATGTATAAATCATAGAACACAAACGGGCTAGAGTATGCTTACATCAGACAAAATGAAAAAATATATATATAATGTATAAAATCACAAGTTGTTTGATAAATTGAAAGCACTAACATGACCATTGTAATAATTTTTGTACATTAAAAAAAGACTTACAATTTCACTCATACTGATGTCAGCATAGTCTCACGTAACATCCCATCTGTATCTGCGTTGAAATCTCGCAAGATGAGAATTGATTATTTAATTTTGATGCATCATATCATCATTAATCAAATAAAATTAATCAATCTTGTTCGATTTCAACGATCGCTTTGAATACATTAGGGTGAGCTTTGTGTCTTATGTTACTGCACTTATCTATGTACCTATGTATATACCTCCTACATAGATACAGTCTATAACTGTTTCTCGCGAATCAAGTACGAAAGCTGACAAGATTTCGTGTGTACATATCACATGTAAAAACACTGCATGAAACAATACTAAACTTACGTAACCGATTTTAGGGTAAAGGATAACTTAGGCCTCGAATTATTCTTGCCTAAGATCCTCTTTTGCTCCTCCTTGACGCGCTTCTCGTGCTCCTTCCTCATCTTTTGCCTCTCTTCTTCCATTAACCGTTGCTCCTCAACCATGGCCAATCTTTCCTCAGCCTGAGATTACGCGTGCATTAATTGCATAAATAATAAATACCTCCCCCCACGTGCACGCTTCGTGAATTTCAATTGCTATCGAGAACACATACCAATTTCTTCTGAGCCTCCTCTATCTTTCTGTTGTTCTCCTCCATAATCCTCTCTAGTTCCTCACGCTTCTTCCGCTCTTCCTCCTACAATGACAATGAAATAGGTTTACATAAAGCAATGATGCTGTTGATCACCATCTGTTGTTACATCGTTCGAAATCATAGTGCTGCTATGTCAACAGCCTAGTGTTACACATCCTAAGAACCTTTATGCAGGAAAGTTTGGGATATATGAAATTTTAAGGTCGGAAAAAAAGAGGATGGCTTATCAAGAGAGATAATCACAGAGAGAGAGAGAGAGAGAGAGAGAGAGTGACAGAAGAGTTTGTCTAAACATGGTATCTTTCTTTTGTGTCAAATGTATTCCTCTTAGATCTCAGCAAACGCTGTTTTTCTCACAGACTGTCCAAAGGAAAATACGATGATGTTTAGGATGTTATTTAAATACGAGAAAAAAAAATTCATTTCTTATGCAAATTAGTGTGCATGCAGGAATGTATATAAAACTGTAATTTTTTTCCTTTCACAAACGCGCGACCGCAACGTTCTGATAAGTGCACAATAAAAACTCAATGTGTGATAAGTGTATATGTATGCGTATCTGTGTAATATTATAACAGCTGTAGGCGAGATTTCTAAATGAGAGGTCTGTATATAATATTATATAATTCAGAAACTAATACCCTACGATTACATTTATATGAATGGTTGTTGCCATCCGCCCGACCTGTGGAAATTCGTTGTGTCCCATTGGTAATAATGTTTAGCGAATCTATAAAATGGACCCTAGCATATGGTCTCTCTGGTACAAAGTGTTGAAACAAAGAACGATGATAATAAGATCGGTATAAAATGAATTATGAATATATAAATTGGATAATACCTGAATGAAGCTCACGCCACCACGTAGGGGATGCCTTCTTCATCGAGAATCATTCAGCAGTGAGTAAAAAACCGGCATCTTCTGTTGGTAGTCAGTAAGGAAGGTGACCTATATATCGCTAGGTCGTGCTTTGTCGCTATGGGATTCTAATTCCGCCCCCTTAAAGTCTCTACTTCTCCCTTTCGAATAAACTTTTTCCCAAACTTGTAGAGATATATATATGTATATATATAATTTGGTGCAAACCCAATGTGCAAAGCAATGGAGAGTATAACCTCTAATAAATTTTTAATGTCAGGATTGCTGTCCAATCGACAAGCGATTTGACTTTTCAGAGGTGAACGTAAATAATTGTGCAGACACAAAAATGTAGAAGCAAACAAAATATCCTAACAACAAAATAAAATAAAATAAAAAATTTGTGATTTATCAAATCTTTCTGATGCGCCAATTAAATAATAAAATGTATAATTCAGTAATTTCTAAATAATAAAGAGTTAAAAATTAAATTTAAAGAGTGAAATAATACTGCAGAAATTAATTATTGTGCATTATTATGCAAAAGATAATTCTTATTCGATTTATAAATATATTCAAAAGATTTTTTCATAAGCAAGATATAATGGCATAAGTCATATTTAAAAAAATGTGATACTTTCACACATTTCTGTATACAGTTCATAATTCTAGTCACGAATTTAATTAGATCGAGAAAGAAAGTCTAAATTTATAGTAAACTGAAAACTATTCTCATTTATAGTGCTTGGCATATATATTTTGTGCAGTATACAATATTATCACTACAGTGATTCAATTAACAATAATAACTGCTCAGGGAAGAATATTACTTTCCTATGGTTTCGTATAAAAATAACTTTATTTCAGACTCAAGAAAAACTTCTTTTGTTCGATAAATTACAAAGTTTGGGATTGTTCTTCTATAATAGCTTCTCCTTTCTGCTCTTTTAAAGACGACTGCATGATGTGATAAGGTGGACAGTCATACGCGCGAAACATTTTTCTTTTAAAACTAGCTCGAGTAAGTATATAAGAAGCCTGATATAGGTAGACTCTCGCCAACATGCACAACAATTTTAGAAATTGGCGACACGATGACCGCTGATTCAAGACGAATCGAAGCAAGTTTAAGGCACAACTTCTAGAATTGTTGACACGAACGTCAATTCAGATATCGTGTGATGAAAAAGGTTATAATGTTGTACAGAGATATATAAATATATATATATACACATGGTACAAACAATTTGATCATAAATAACCGATACATGCGCCTATGCAGCAGCATATTTCTTTCATAATAATATATAAAGTACAGCTTCTCAACAACGCGACCTCAGTGGATGCTGAGAAGTCGAAGCAGTGTGGTTTTCTTCGCTTAATTTTCTTTATAATGCAATCGCGAACCACAATGCTTCTAGCCCAAACGCTGTGATCATGAATTAAAACTAGAATAGAGTCAACTCCACAAGTTCAATCGTATATATATTTTCCTAAAGCCAGTACAATTTGCAAATCCTGTTTAACTTTAAGACATCAAAATTGAAATATGCAAAAAGATCCACAAATTGCACTTTTGGTCCGGCCTAACAATTACAATTGAAGCTTCAATATATTTTCTGAACGTTTCCGTTTCATTCGTTACAGACTTGATATTCTGTAAACCTTGTGATACAACATGAAATTTGTAGGCGATAGTACAAATAATATTAGCTATAAGGTTACTCCTTGCGAAAATACATTTCTACGTATGCCTCAATTTCCGGAAACGGTCGCTAAAAGACCACTAAGATTTATTTCCTGCTGATCATAACAGCGCTTGGGCTATCACTGACCAATATTTCTATGGATAGATCTTACCTCTCTTCGTTTCTCCTCCTCCCGTAGTTTCGCTTGCCGCCATTCCATCTCCTCCATCATTTGACGCTCCATAGCCCTCTTGGCTTCCTCCACCCGCCTCTGCACCTCGGCGTCAATTTCCTCCTTACGCTTCTCGAGCTCCTCTTCCACCCTCTTTTGTACAAGTTCCTCTATCCGTTTGGCCGCTTCTTCCTCCACCATCTTCTGCTCCACCTCGCGCTGACGTCTGCAGACAGATAAGCAGCGATCTTCCTCCAGAACACTGTTTTCGGAATCATTTTTTTTTCTTGTACAAAGGTGAAGTTAATAGCATGCCAAATTTTTAAGTTGCAACTCTTTCAGAATCTACTGATAATCCATAATTGAACAAACCATTGAAATTTGCTGAATGTGATAGCAATCGTGGTGTAAAGAATAGAAGGTGAAACTATCTGGTGGATGCGAGGTCGTGCAAAAGTGGGGAGACAATAAACTAGACGATAAACCGATCAGCTTTTCCCCAAAATGCAAAATTTAATAAGTAATTTTCTCCATGTGGGGAACAACTGATTGGTCGAAATTTTGATCCATACGCAATGTTTCATCTTATATTCTTTACACCATGATAGCGATGAAATAAAGGATGTTATCGAAAGATATATGATACTTGCATACGTCAAGCATACTTTCTTGCAAAAACGTATTACAGTAAAGTGATGAGCTTTGAAATAGATAAACCACCACCATGAAATAATTACACATTCTTACCCAACTGTGCTCGTGGTGAAGATTTTGTTCATTAATTCTTTCTTTTTCCTGACAACATAATTATAAAAAAAACAGCGTATAACAAAAATTTAGGTTATGCAACATAAATATATATATATATAACATGTTCCACTTGACGCGCAAGAGAGAGAGGAAAAGAAACGCAAGATAAGAGAAAAGAAGGTCGAAAAAACATATAAATATATGCTCTTTTCCAATCCTAACGCGAACTATCAAGAGGAACATTCTCGAACGTAATTCAATGGCCATACCTTTGCCGCTCCATTTCCGCCAGCCTCTCCACCTCGTCCATCTTTCGATCCCTGTCCCTGTACGAACGTTTCTTGTGACTGACGATGTGCACATCGTCCGACGCGTCCGAACCGGTGCTGGACGACGCGGAATGGGATCGTTTCCTAAACAAACGAGGCCAAACGAGTAATTATTATTTTCTTGAATTACACGAAAAACGTGCGCTCGTTAAATTGAACGTCGCCGAGGCGTGTATATATATACATATACAGGAGCGAGAATTCACCGGCGCGGCAACGAGACACGGCGACAATACAAGTCCACGAATTCGCAATTGTGTTTTTATGTACATTTATTTATCTCTCGCCGCGAGCGCACGCCGTGTAAACGCACGGGGCAAGCGACAAGATGGCCGCAAGCACGTACGACGGCGAAGATCGAGATCTTTCGCAAGCGAGCGGAGGCGGTTGCGCGTCGCGCACCGCACCGAGCAATCCCGCCCGTCGCGAGACCTGGCACGCACCTGGACTTGGAGCTGCGCTCCTTCGGCTTGTCCGAGTACTTGTTGTTGGAGTGCTTCTCGCGCGACTTGGACCGCTTGCGCGAGTGCTTGCTCTTGTGACGCCGTCTGCTCGGCGATTTCGTTCGGGAGCGCGACCGGCCCATCCTCCTGATCGTCTTCCCTCCTCGAACACTCGGTGCACTCGTGATTTCACGTAGAACCGGGGGCTTTTATCGTCTTCGACACTACCGCGGATCGACGCGAATATTCGTCGACGAGAGACGAAAGCGTATGTATAACCGTACCGCACACTGCACACACCGCATCCACCAGCATCCACTGCGCACCTCTCAACTGGCGCCACTGGCGGCCATCTTTAAAGCACGATGCTTCGACGTAGAATCCGGAACTGGCGACTCCGACAACAACCGGCTGTTTGCCGCGCCCTCGCGAACTCACCTGATAAGCAGATGCGAGCAGACGCCTCGTGTCGGCGACACCAGTGAAAGGTATTGTAGTTTCGTACCTGTTATGTATGTATGTATACTTACATACATACATATGCATACATATATACTTTGCTTCTATTTTAATTGCGTAAACAAAAAGAGAGAAAAAGAATTTTTCTTATAAAGCAAATTGTACGAATTATTTTTTTTTAATTGCATCACCGCATTTTTTTAAATAATACCACTGATGTTATTTATCGCGGCATTGCTGCAACAGTGTCATATCTCGAAAAATGACAATTTTGAGTTATTTATTGGAAAAGATGGATTTTGGCGTGTACTTTTATCTGGTGAATAACTATCAATATTGTCAATTTTCGAGATATGACACTATTGCAGCAATACCGCGATATTATACGTATACGTATTTTTATTATAAAAGGCGGAAAATAAAAAGGGACGAATGAGAAATATATTCAAAAGCGGATTTCGATTTATCATATGTGTATATACATATGTATACAATATGCGTACATTACAGCTAGTTAAAAAGTACGTGAAGCAGCGCGGATTTTTACTGTTTCGATATAGTATGATGGTGTTCAGTGTTCACTTATGTAGCTATACACCGTTTTTTGATTGTTTATTTGAAATTCAGAAAAACATTCATCATATATATATATATGATATTACGAGAAATTAATTCGCCGGTTAGCATTCTCGATTTACCGATCTTCGATGTTTATTGCAGGTGGAATCATGATTAAAGAGACAGCGGTACGTCGTTAATCAGCGATTAATTAATTATCTCGACCGCATAGATCAGGGAGGGAAAGGGGGGGAGGGGAGGATTTGCATCATGATCCGCACGTCCGAAGCGGTCTGCAGTTCGCGTCGACGATCGGGTGTCGCGCCACTTCCAGCCACTTCGGGAGTCACGCGCGCGCCGATTTCGAACGCGCGTTTCGGCCGGTCCGATTCCGGCGCGTTCCGCCGGTTCCAGTTACCGCGCGCGGCAGCACCGCCGGCGGCCTCCCCCCGGCTCGCCGCGCACGGGCTGCGGCATCGCGTCGCCGCGCGCCAGCCGCCAGCTGTGCCGCCGCGTCCGTCCGTCCGTCGATCCGTCCCAGTCCGTCCCGCGGTCGCGCCATTCCGGTCCGTTCCGCTGGCGACTGCCAGAAAGCAAGATGGCGCCCGTCTGTTTGCGGATACCTCTGCCGTGGATATAAATACGCGCGAGGAGGAAAAAAGGGAAGAGGGATAAAAAGAGCAGTGCCGAGAAACGGTCGCGGACGATCGTGCGGTCGGTGCGACGATCGTCGTGATTGCGCGCATCTCGTCCGCGATTGACGTCAAAGTCGCCACGCGCCGCGGTAACGTCGCGTGAACGCGTCGGTGTCCGTGGGCTCCCCGTGTCGCCGTGTCGTGTGTCGTGTTGTCTCGTGTCTCCGTCCTCGGTCGTCGTCCGCCGTCGTGATCGTCGTCGCCGTCGCCGTCGCCGCCGCCGTGATCCGCTGTCCGCCGCGAGCACGAAGCCGGCAGCGAGACCACCCGCGCGCGCCTATCCTCGTCCCGTCGATCGGTCCAGCAACTCCAGGAAGGCGCTCGTCGCGAACGGGGAACCCACCTGAGGAATGCCAGATCGGCCGCGATCCCCCCGGCAGGTCGGCGGATCGGCAGCGCGGCGCGCCGTGAAAGACGAGTGAGCGGAGGAGAAGCCGTTGAAAAAGAAGAGAGAAAAGAGGAAGAAAGAAGGAGGGGGGGAAAGGAAGGAGAGAAAAATATAAACGACGGAGTGCGTGCTCCCTCGTGGGGATTCCCCTCGCGAGCAAGGTGACCGCGGTCGCTACTCTCCCGTGACGTATGTGTGTCGCGGAGGTCGTTTGTCAGACGGGTCGGCCGCCGCGAGTGTCTTCGTCGTTCACGTCGCCGTCCACGTTCCCGTCGCCGTTGTTGACATCGTCGCCGTCGCGTCGCGAGTGCCGTCGGCGATCCCGATGCGCTGTCGCCCTCCCCTGGAAGATCATCCCCTCTGGACACCCGGTGGAATCAGCTGCTGCTGTTGCTGGTGCTACTATTACTGCTGCTGCTGGGACTACTAGCCCGGCAGCTCCCTGCGAGGATACTCTTCCGTTGGAGCGGTGGGGCAAGGAGGCGCCGGAAGCAGCCGCGAGTCCGGAAGCATAGCGAAGAAGATGGCCTTCAACGAGGTGAGTACCCGCGCTCCGGCGCATCTGTCTGCTAACATGCGTGCGTGCGTATGTATGTATATGTATGTGCATGCGTCACGCGTTCCCGTTGCACCGCGATCGCGCGTCGTCGGGTCGTTCGATCCCGCGGGGTTGACCCCGCGACCCCCAAACGCCATTCCTAACCTAACCTCCCTTTCTGCGCACAGCTGGTACGCTATCAACTCCCGCTCGCCCCCGGCGCCCCGACCCTCGCTCTCTCCACCGCAAAGACGTCACTCTCTCTCTCTCTCTCTCTCTCTTTCTCTCTCAACAAGTTCGAAGATGCTTAGCATTCGACAAGAATTGGTTTTACGTGAGCGTAATTTGGTGAATTTTATTTGGCAAAGTGTGACTTTAAATGCATCCACAGAATGGGATCCATTTAAAGTCCCTCCATCTGCATTCATTACGAAAAGATGTCGACCTGAAAAGAATGAGAATCGGTTCCCTCTGTCGGTGACAATTGTTCGTTAATTTGAATTAAGAGTTCATACGGTAGTTCTAATTGGAATCGTTAGTGACACACGTGCGTTATTACTCGTGATTATACACCGCTGATGTACCTTTAAACGTAATTTCATATACATAATCTCTCTAATCAGACGTTGCGGCAACCGCGCTAATTACTTTACAGAGATAAATTATTCGTCAAAGGTGTCCCTTGGCTACGTCTCTTTTAGGATCGTATCCAGCGTTCCTTAGATTCGTTATAAATCTGTCACGTAGCCGTCGGCGCGTGCGTTTCGATATAATTAATCATGAAAATAATTGTTTTATAAAATGCACGCGAAATCGAAGGAAGGTCGGCAAGTTTTCTTAGGTTTTAATAGTGCGCGCCTAATTGTCTATATAGCGACCTTGGAGGAGTCGCGATAAATGCCATTGAAGCATTGAAGGTTTTATCAGTTGCAATAATTCTATCAGTATCGATAGAATTATTGCAACGGTAGTAGTAATCTTGCGATTGGTCCGCCGTTGTATCGCCTTACATCGCCGTATTACTCGTATATCGCAACATCACTTACGTTGCTCGCGGAATTCGCGATCTGTGTTTTGGACCGCGCTACATCGTGATTTCACAAGTCACAATAATAACATTAACGAGCCTCCTTTCGTTGTCGTCATCACCCCGTCGATTTTGATAAGACAGCCTCGCGTTCTCGTCTCGACAGATTACTTGACTGCGCGATAGCGCGATAGCGCGTTACACATGTTTACATCTTTTCGATCGGTTCAAAAAAAGAGAGAGAGAGAGAGAGAGTGAGACTATTTGATTGATCGCTCCGAGTTTTTCAGTGCGTCAGCATTGAAGCTTATCTCCGTTTTCGATTTTATTAATGCGACTGATCCACCGACGTCTTCATAATTTCAAGTCGGCGTTACTTCCTACTTCGAACGCACCGGCGAGTTTCCGCACAATGGGAGATAATATCAACCCTTTTGTGAGACTATGAGAAACTTCCCATCGTTTGTTAGGATATACGACGCTCGGTAGACACGCTTTTTATTATATATCCATGCCGATGTCGCGGCCAACTAATTATATTTACTAGCGTCCAGAGGATTTCGCGCGAATTCGCATAATGGGGCCTCTAAATGGATGATAATTTACCTGCCGTCGTATCCTTCGACGAAGGCTATCGTCACCGCGGTGACGCATGGCCACGTCGCGTACACAGTTGGAATCTCGGCTTTATCGCTGCCCCGTCTATTTCTCGCTGAGTCGACTCGTGTATTAAAAAAAAAAAAGAGGAAGAAATAAAAAACGCGAACGCCGGTGCGTAATTAATACACTGCGATCGGATTTCACCGATAGTCTGCTATAACGTTACATACGGATTACGGCTCGAAACACTTTCGAGCCGAGTGTGATAATCGCGTGGAACGTGACTTCTGTTCTCACGTTGCTTTTGATACTTTCAAACGAAACGCGCGCGCGTGTGTATGTGTGTGTATGTGTGTGTGTTGTACATATGTGCGAATATACGACGCGACTCGTCCCAACTTCTTTTCTTTTCGCGGGACGTCTTCGCGTTGTGCCGAAAAATCTTATTCTTTTCGTGACAACGCGAACAATTGTTCGTTTCGATCGCTCCTTTATGCTAAATAAATGTCTTTTTTTTATCGAGCATTCGATCAATTAAAATTCCTTCTGGAATTCCTTCTCAGGCATTGCAAAGCGATGTGTCCGCTCGCGATTACCTCGTTCGAAACGTACGTACGTGAATTTATTTCGGATATTCGATCGACGATCACGAAGCGATTTCGATCTCGGATTCACCGACGCATCGCTCTTCAAGATGCCCCGTCTGTATCTTATCTCCGTCGCAACTCGCGACGGAGGGGAGGTCAATTCATCCGTTCGTCAAGACGCGTATATACAAGAAAGGCGCCACGAACAAAAGCTACCTTGTGCGACCCGTTGATATCGATCGCGATGTCGTATATCAGTGCGTAGGGTGGGATTCTCCGCCCCCTTCGACGTCTCTTACGTCCTACGGCTTCGTTCTCGTAACGCCGATTCCTTTCGTATACCACCTCCCGTTTTCGCAACAACTCGTGTCTGTCTCGTCGAATAAACTCGTCGCAAATCAGGCCCCAGAGGGGTGCCCCTTTGAAACTTTTCGAGTAACCCGCGGGAGAGCTGCGAGCTGCAAGCACCTGCAGATTTAATGTATACGCGGGTATACACACGCGCGTACTCTGAATCGCAAAAC